AGAGGAAGCTCTTCCGTATGATGGTTCACTTCCCAAGTGGCAGCAACAGCTAGAGCTGAGCCAATCCAAAGCCAGGAGCCTCTTCCAGGTCTCCCAGCGGGTGCAGGGTCACACGGCTTTGTGCTACCCTCTGCTGCATTCCCAGGACACAAGCAGGGAGCTGGATGGGAAGTGGAGCAGCTGGGATTAGAACCTGCATCTATATGAAATCCTTGCACGTTCAAGGCAAGGACTTTAGCTGCTACACTATTGCGCCAGGCCCTGCCCATCTTTTTTCTCTTATGTTGTTTACATATTTGAGAGGGATGCATGCTCATGTGGCCCACCAATTATGGTGGGGAGGATTAATGAGTGGGAAAAAGTGGATGAGACAACTGTTTCCAATCTTTTTTCTTGTAGTGTTTAGGGAAAGTGGGGAGAGAAGGAAAGAGGGCCATTACCAGCAACCCAACTGCATCAGTACCCAGGAATGGGGGAAGGCCACCCAATATGCCAGGGTCCCCAAAGTGGCGCATTTTCCAAGGATACTGCTTAAGTGGTTTTGAGAGTTTTGAGGTGCTGTTGATTTCGTTGCTCCAAGGTTGAGGAAATCCTTCCAAGATCCATTGGCTAGCATATTCCACCTCAGAGTCTCAGTTTGCCCAGATGCTTGTCCAGGAGAGCTGTCTAGTTTGTTGTGCCCTCTATTGTACTAAATGTCCTCTGCAGGTATCAATGAACTGGTTGTCATGCCCCCCATGAGCATCTGGGCGTATTGTCTACTGCACATGCCTCAGCAGCCATGGAGACCTAGTTCTGATAGATGCACTCCATGGTCAGACAACATATCCTGTGATGTTCACCATGGTAGAGTTCTGAGTCCAGTGATCCAGTTGGAGGATCCACAAAGGAACCTCACCAGAGGTGACCTCAACCTGACTCCTGTGTCTGCCAGCCAGGGCAGGCTCTGACTCAGTCCATCACCCACATCAGCCTACACACAAACTGGTGGTTGCAGTCACCTGATCAGTTCTGTCCATAGCCCCATCTCATATGCAAACCAAAAGATGATGTGGTCCAGCCTAACCCTGCCCACTATACACTCTGCCCTCACATACATTAGTGGGAACTGCAGCCTAGTTGGAGCGGCCCCCAATAATCCCCACTAGGCCCACCTCCAGCCCTGGTTCCTGTGCATGCTGGCATGTGCGTAAGACAGGTGCAGTCTGTCCCATATCCCATTCAGGTCTTGTGCACATCAGTCTGCCCATCTTTTTTATACCTAGGTTCCAGGGAGCAGTTGGGGGGCTCACCAAGTTAGTATGATTTGGTTTGCAGAACAGCTCTGATAGTGGCTTCCACATGCTGGTTCATGAACACATATTAACAGAGAGTTTTCACTGATCTGAGAGAACAGTCAAGTCATCTTTTAGTAAGTGCTAAATGTGTTCAATTATTTTATTTTGAAATCACATAATAATTCTCATTCTTTTAGAATGCTGTTTATTGATTATTTTATCATTATTGCCTATAATGTATTTGGTAGGCAACAAAAAAAGAAAAAGAAATCAAATTCCTAATCCCCTATTTCTTTAGAAATTTATCTGTGAGGCCCGGTGGTGTGGCCTAGCAGCTAAAGTCCTCGCCTTGAACGCGCCAGGATCCCATATGGGCGCCGGTTCTAATCCTGGCAGCTCCACTTCCCATCCAGCTCCCTGCTTGTGGCCTGGGAAAGCAGTGGAGGACGATCCAAAGCCTTGGGACCCTGCACCCATGCGGGATACCTGGAAGAAGTTCCTGGATCCTGGCTTCGGATCTGCATAGCACCGGCCGTTGCGCTCACTTGAGGAGTGAATCATTGGACGAAAGATCTTCCTCTCTGTCTCTTCTCCTCTCTGTATATCTGACTTTGCAATAAAAATAAATAAATTAATTAAATAAATAAATAAAAGAAATTTATCTGTGACAATCAGAGCCCTAGGAATTACAGCTCTAATAGATACATGTTTGGCTTTGTGTTCATGTATGAGTGCCTGTAACCAGTATTTGTATCTAGAAACTAGTGTAGTTTAACCATTGACTCCTTCCTGAGTGCCAGATACTGTACTAAATGCTTTACATATCTCATTTCATCTTCATAATTAACCTTGTGAACTGTATATTCTCTCTGTGTATCTCAAAGAGGTGATATCATTTCCATCCAAAGTTATCCTGATTCAAATGGTGCAACTGCAGTTGGATTACAGGCTCCCTAAGGACAGTGGATGGTTGATCTTTTTTGTCTTGTTTATAACCTGTCAGCTTTTGACCTGTGGAATTTTAGCCTAGATTCTGTGCATACATGAGCTAATGATATTTTTTCCTTACTTTTTTTTTTCTTTTTAAAGGCATATTTATTTATTTGAAGGGCAGAGTGTCAGAGAGAGGGAGAGTTACAGACGTGAGAAAGACTGGTTCACTCCCCAAAGTGCTCCAACAGTCAACACTGAACCAAACCAAAGCCAGGAGCTTGAAGCACTCTCCTGGTCTCTTCTATCAGTTGCAGAGGCCAAAGCACCTGGTTTGTCTTCTGCTGCCTCCCCCAACCCACCTACCTCAGGAGACTGGATTGGTAGTGGAGCAACTGGGATTTGAACCAGCACTTCAGTATGACTGCTAGAGTCGCCAACAGTGGCCTGACCCAATGCTACACAGTGCCAGCTGCTATGGGTGTTTAAAATCAAGTTGCGCTGAAGGTGTATTTCTTGGGTAGGGAGTCCTTAATTTTTTTAAAAATTCATTTCCACTGGTTCACTCACCAAGTGGCTGCAATGGCCAGAGCCAAACCTATCTGAAGCCAAGAGCCCAGATCCTCTTCTGGGTCTCCCACGTGGGTGCAGGGTCCCAAAGCTTTGGGTTGTCCTCTACTGCTTTCCCAGGCCACAAGTAGGAAGGCAAGTGGAGCAGCCAGGGTATGAACTGGTGCCCATATGGGATTCTGGGCATGCAAGGTGAGGACTTTAGCCACTAGGCTTCCTTGTTGGGCCTGTAGTGTTAAAAAGTTTAAAACATTTCTTTATCCAGCAATACTAATAATCATTTGGATTCATTTCTGGTAACTCTTAAATTAAGAATCCAACTTGCCTGAATCATATTCTTCAATTTTGGTTCTAGTGTTGGCTGCTTTCCAGAGGTAGAAGATTTTTTGCTGCAGTGTGCAATTAGTGGCTATCCAAGAAACACTTCAAAAACTCCTGACTAAGAATAGAAAATAAGATGGCATTTAAAGACTTACTGCTAATGTGAGGTTAAAAGTTGAAGGCCAAGTCATGAGTTGCTGAAGTAGACAAATTGCAGTTGGAAAGTCGTGGGGCTCTGTGTCTGCTGCAGTGTTGCTGAAGTTGGCCACACATACTCGTGCTAGACCCGCTGACCGAGACTCCTGACCGAGGGACCCACACGTGCAGCTGGGGTGCTTTGCCAGGTGGTCCTGGACAATTGGATGTCATACCAGCTTTGGGTCTGGTCAGGCACCCTTAGGCTTGGGTTTGCTGTGCTCAGCACTCTGTGAAGTTAGAGCATCATCCTCTGATTACAGTTAGTGGACGTGATAAACGAAGCACACCTCGGGGTCATCAGAGCTCCCAAAGACATTTTGTCTGTTTGATTTTTTAAAAATTGATACATAATATACTCCCAGGACATTTTTTTTAGTCTCTTGCCAAAATGTTAACTAGAATAATGAGTTTTCTCTCAGAATCCCATTGCTCTAAATTGCTGCCCAGAATCCCCTAGCTATAATTTCCAGTTAAAGAAGAGTAAGTTCACAGCAATTTGATTATCTGCTGGTTGTGTCTTGTCCTTGGCTCGTACATGTGCTGCTGGTGTCATAGGAGACACACAGCTGGGGAACTGCTCAGAGGCTCCTGACTGGGGCTCCTGCTCACCTCACACCAGTTTTGTCCTCACCAGCTGCCTTCTAGTTCCTTGACTGGCCCAACTTCCTGCATCTTGTGTCCCAGATGTTTTGGTGGACTTCCTCAGTCTGTCATATTACCTATCTTATTTCCATTCTAGTGGAAATAAGTAATTTTTAGTAATCTGATGGTTTGTCACTCCCACCCCACTGTCCACTCTGGAAATGGACACATCCCTCCCTGTCTGTCTCATTTGCCGCTGGACCCCCAGCCTCTGGACCAGTACCTGACATGGTAGGTGCTGAGAATCAGAGGAGTGAATGCCTGGAGGTCTACCCTCTTGCTCACCCTTTCCTATAGTACAGACCCAAGCTGCATTGTGTGGCTAGTGTCTCTGGATGGTAGCTGAGAACTGTGGTAATTTTCTGAAGCATAGTTAATTACCTGTGAATTTGATGTTTTTTATGAATTTATGCTGCAAGGCTCCACGGAACTCCTTCCTTGGCCATGTGTTTTAGGTGAGAGTGACAGCAGTGATTTGGAAATATATGTCCATAAGACTTAGTTGGAGGGGTATATGATCTCTTTGGATTGGAGTTAATTTCATGGTCTTGTTAAGTAGTAGGGTTTTTGTCTTTGGGCAAGAGCTGGGTCCTGAGATCATGGGTATTAGAAAGCATCTTTAACTTGGGAGAATTTGGCCCTGATTATCTACCTCATCTCTCCATTTGCTATGGAAATATAGGTGTAGACCAAACTTGTTTCCTGAGCTGACTCCCAGAGACCCTAGCGGGCCCTGCCTATTGGGGTTTGTGAAGCTCCTTCAAGCTTCAGGGGCCTTCCGCAGGTTGAAGAGGTCTTCCTGTGGGCTGTTTGAGAATCTGCAGTACCTACCCTCAGAAAATGTATTAGCACCTGTGCATTCTATTTTGCATGATTTTAAGGGGTCCAGGGACTTGCTAAATGCTCCTTCTGGGCTATTTGGGGATTTAAGTTGGGAAGTTAGAGTTGTTCGCTTGTCCGTCACAGCTGGGTTGCAGATCTTCCATTGCTGTTTCTTTCTGACTTGGTCTTCTGTCTTCTGTGCCTTTTCTTGTTTTGTAATAACCTGCTGGACCCTTTCAGGCCCAGAAGAGGCGATACTCTCCAGGAGTGCAGGTACTCGGTTCTTGACCCACCATGACCATCCTTATTCCCTTGTGTTCACCCAACATTTGTTGCTATGTAGAACCCATGTGGCTCTTGTCTCTGAAGTCCCAAGGCTCCGGTCTCAGTTGCATTTCCACCTTGCATGTTGACCATCTGGGACAATGGGGAGTTCACCAAAAGGAGTGGCATGCCTCATGTTACCATCTCCTGTCAACACCCTCTGCACTGTTTTGGCACCGAGCTTGTCTTGCAGTGGTTTGTTCATGTCTCCAGAGGAATTTGCTCCTACAGCATTGGGACAGTGGGTGGGTTATGAAGCAGTGTTCAGTTTTCTTGCTCTGGGGGGAGAACCTTGTTCTGTTAGTGTTACTATTGGCAAAAGTTACATGTGCACGAGGTTTCAATGGGCTGCAAAGGGTGGATGAAGAGCAGCCCCTGTGGTTGCATGAGTCCACTCAGCAGCTGTGGCAGAGTTCTTTAGCAGTCCCACTCCATTTGGCATGCTTTATACTTACAAGTACTGTGCCATGTAGAAAGGTGTCCCTGCTAGTCAGTCAGGCATTTTCAGAGCACCTACTGTGTGCAGAACACTTACCCTGACAGGAAAGGAATGGAGCTGGAGACATCTAAGAAGCATGACACATGGTGATTTTCTCCAAGAAGCTCCCACGGCCATTGGGAGGTTGGTATATTTATGTAACAAGGGAACCTCCTGGTGTTCTAAGAGGATTGGAATCAGAACCTAAAGCTGTACAGGGAACACCTCAGGTCCCTTGTGCACTGGGACAAGGAGAACTACTTAACTACTTCAAGGCAGGTATGTCACCTCCTGGGCCTGCACCTGCTGCAGGACTATCAGAATGTGAGTGCTCGGGGGCTGCTCACGGTGAGGCAGAATGCTGGTCTGGTGCACTGTCATTTGCATGTGTACCATGATCCCAAATGTACTTCTCACTGTCTGTGTCTCCTTCCTTGCTTCCTAGCGGGTGTTCCCCTACATCTCAGCCATGGTGAACAATGGCTCCCTCAGCTATGACCATGAGCGAGACGGGCGGCCTACAGAACTGGGGGGCTGCACAGCCATTGTCCGCAACCTCCATTATGATACCTTCCTCGTGATTCGCTACGTCAAGAGGCATCTGACAGTGAGTGCCAGGCCAGGACCAGTTGGCAGGTTGGGGTGCGGCTTGACGCTTGCAGCTTGCTCTTGACTTATCTCTTTTAATTTTAGATCATGATGGATATCGATGGCAAGCATGAGTGGAGGGATTGCATTGAGGTGCCTGGGGTTCGTCTGCCCCGGGGCTACTACTTCGGCACCTCCTCCATCACTGGCGATCTATCAGGTACTCCCCCTGCACTCATCATTTTTCCTAAATTAGACCTCCTGGCCCACTTCTTGCAGGAGAGCACCAGATAAACAGAGCCAAGAGAGTCCTCTCCCTGCACCCTTGCATCCATAAAAAAGCCCCAGGCCCAAGCTTTCCTGGTTAATTGTCTCAGAGGAAAACAGGGCTGGCCTCTCATCAAGCCAGCCCTGCCAGCCTGTGTCTTGAGTTCCTTGTCTTCCCATTTGTGGTGCGCTTCCTTCTATTAGGCTGTTCCTACCTACTGTTGTCCCCAGTCATCTTCTTCACAGAGCTTTGTTTTTAAACTCTGCTGTCCCTGGGCCCAGCACGGTAGCGTAGTGGCTAAAACCTTGCATGTGCTGGGAGCCCATATAGATGCCAATTTGTGTCCTGACTGCTCCAGTTTCCATCCAGCTCCCTTCTTGTGGCCTGGGAAAGAGTCGAAGACGGCCCAAAGCCTTGGGACCCTGCTGCCATACAGGGCACTCAGAAGAAGCTCCTGGCTTTGGATCAGCTCAGCTTTGGGTGTTGCAGCCACTTGGGGAATGAACCAGCAGACAGAAGACCTTTCTGTCTCTCCTCTCTGCAAATCTTATTTTTCCAATAAAGATAAATAAATTTTAAACAACAACAGCTCTGCTGTCCCTCTCCAATGGACCCCTGCACTTATCTTTTTGGTGAGGCTTTTTTTTTAAAGGTTTACTTACTTTGTTTTTAATTGAAAAGATTTATAAAGAGTAGGAGAAATGACAGAAAGATCTTCCATCAGTTGGTTTATTTTCCAAGTGATCGCAAGGCTGGACCTGAGCTGATCCAAACCCAGGAGCCAGTCTCTTCTGAGTCTCCCATGCAGGTGCAGGGTCCCAAGGCTTTGGGCCATCTTTTGTTGCTTTCCCAGGACATAAACAGGGAGCTGGATGGGAAATAGAACGGGTGGGACGTGAGTTGATGCTCATATGAGATCCTGGCAGTTGCAAAGCAAGGATTTAACCATTAGACCACTGTGCTGGGCTCTTAATGAGACTTGTACAAATGTAATGAGACTTGTACTTGTAATGAGATTTGTACAAAATGGCACATTTGTACAAATGTCTTTAGCTCTTCCCCATCCTCCACTGCCCAACTGTACTCACATCCTTGACTCTGCTTTGCTGTTGCCATTCCTCTTCTGTGATGTACTTCTGTTCCTTTGTCATAGAGCTCTCTTGTCCTCATTCCTTGCTCCACTTCAGTTCATTTAACCAACTGCTGTGAAATTTCCACCTTAGGTAGCCTTAGCAGTGCATGGTTCTTTTTATGCTTCAGTTTTCTGTGGTTTCTCTTCCAGCCCATGTCCGATTTGGGAGTTTCCCTTTAAATGCTTATTCTCTTCCCTGGCTTTAGCCTCTGTACCAATAACTGTGTTCTGCCAGTGGCCTGTTAAACAGCTGCCGTGAGAGCTTTTCCTGTCTCATGTGACTGTGTGTGTGTGTGTGTGTGTGTGTGTGTGTGTCGGGGCGGGGTCCTTGCTGAGGAAGGAGAGTGGCAGAGAGAGGGGTAGACATGAGTGACAGGGGCCTAAGGGCTTGGACTGGCCTCCATTGCTTTCCCAGACACATTAGCAGGGAACTGGATGGGAAACAGAGCAGCTGGGGTTCAGACTGGCCCTGTGGTATGCAGTGTCAGCACCACAGTGCTGGCCACTCTGATTATTTGCTTCGGTGTCACTGCTAGTTAACTGCTAATTGATCAAAGGCTGGTCTAAGATACCTTTCTTTGAGGTTGCTGAATTGTTATATTCCTCTCTCTAGATAATCATGACGTCATCTCCCTGAAATTGTTTGAGCTGACGGTGGAAAGAACCCCAGAAGAGGAGAAGCTGCATCGAGATGTGTTCTTGCCCTCAGTGGACAACATGAAGCTGCCTGAGAGTAAGCATGGGGCATTCTGGGAAAAAGTCCCATGGGCAGGGAGAAGGTCACAGTGCATGGAGTTCTCCACCTTGCTTACTTGTGTTGCACCTGCCCTTTCACTTGGGCTCACTTTCTAGATGAGCTGAAGGAGGAAGGGGGGAATGTAAACTCTGGCTGCCCAGAGATAGTGTCAGAGCCCGGGAACTGGGCAGCTAGAGCTTGGTGCTCCCCCCGACCACTCACTTCTGACCCGCTTCTCTCTCGCTTCCTCAGTGACAGCACCACTGCCTCCCCTGAGCGGTTTGGCCCTCTTCCTCATCGTCTTCTTCTCTCTGGTGTTTTCTGTGTTTGCCATCGTCATCGGCATCATACTGTACAACAAATGGCAGGAACAGAGCCGAAAGCGCTTCTACTGAGTCCTGCTGCCATCACTTCTGTGACTGTCCCCGTGAGGTGTGGGAAGGGCAGGTGCTGGCCTGAGTGCGCAGCCTTGTGGATCTTCTTCAGTCTGCAACCATGATCAGGGCTCTGCTCCATCACCAGAGCTTCGGCTAGAGGGACCCCATGGTTCCCTGTTGGATGGTGGGACCCCATGTGCTCATGGTCTCCTACCAGGACATCTGACTCTGGTCCAGGAAGCCACCCACCCTAGGATAGTGCTGCTGTGATGTGCCTTTCCCTGCCATCCTTCTACTTGGGGGCAAGAAGGCATGGAGAGAATGTATGCTGTTGTGATGCTAAAACCACAGAACAGAATTTCATAGCCCAGAGTACTTTGGATTCAGTGGGCCCTTCTGCAAACTGTAGAAAACTGGTAGCTCCTCAAACACCCAGTCATTGGTTTTTGCTTTTTTTTTCCCAAGCTGTTATCCACCTGAGGATCTGGATGGGCACTTCTTCCCTGCCTTACCTTCCTTCCTCCTTTCATTATCCTTTCCGTGAGCAACTGGAGCTGGAAAAGACTTTTGGATACCTCTCTGTTGGGGCCTGGGGCTGCAGTGCACACTCCGCTTTCACTGAGCCTCACTGGTGGCCCCAGGAACTTTCCACTTGGCCACCACTCCAGCTTCTAATCTCCAGCAGGGGATTGGATCGGCAAGCTCTCTAATCAGATCCTTTCACGGCTTTAGTCAAGGTTGCTGGAAAGTCAGCGAGTGCACATCAAGAGGAGCTTGAAGGACTTTATGGATGCCATGAGATTAACTGTGAAACTGACCAGCTCCAGATTTGACACTGAAAACACCATCTGTCATGTGGTCTGAGCAGATGGGGATGTTTCAGGACACTTGGAGCCTGCACAGCTGCATGCTTTGTGTTGACCATGATTTTTGGAATCACACTTTGATTGTTGGAAGTATGGAAGCTTTCCTTTTATAACCTGGGCTTAGATATTTCCCCCAAGAGGAAATTTTTTTTTTCCTCGATGGAGACAGTTTCTGTGTAGTCGTGTTACAAGTCAGGGAGCAATAGACCCTCGTCATCCGGTGCCTGGAAGAACTCACGATCTTTGAGCAACAAGCCTGAGTGCTCTACGTGTCAGCCTTTACTCTACTGCCTTATCCGACAAGGGGTCACATGCTGCTCACCTGTCTGCCCTTTGGTAAAATTGCTTAGAGGCCAGAGCCTTCCAGGAGGGCCTGGAACTCTGAGCTCTCCTGTGGTCTTCTGTAGCCCAAGAGAAATTCTGAAAATGGCTGATGGAACCAAACAAACTTCTGACCACTTGTCCTTCCTCCAGGGGAAGGGGTGGGGGGGGATAGGGTCAGGCTAGGGTCCTTTATTTTGGAGCCTCAAGTCCATGAGTTCCAGCTGTGCCTTCTGGGTTGGGGAAGCCTTCAGCTCAGCCTGAAGAACAGGGGATGGTGCCCGTTGGCTGCGCACAGGTCTCTCTCCACTGTGGTCTCTGCCTTACCCGCATGCTTGTGATCCAGCAGTGCAGGCTGTCCTGCCATCCCGAAGGTGGGATGGAGGAAGAACAGAGACTAAAGGTATTCCTCCTAACTACATCCCCTCTGTGACAAGAGTGGCTCCAGGTACCAGAGGACAAATTTGGATCTAGACCTGGTCCAGGATCAGGGAAGCTGGTAGAAGCAATGGATGTTTGGTCTGAGTACAAGGGAAGATGGACCAGAACTGTGTGGTGTGAATGCCTGTGTGGGCTCCTTAGATGGCCAAGGAAGGGGTGTGGGAGGAGGGGATATTGCACGTCATGGGGTGGGGTGAGAAATTGAACCTGTGTGGTTGGTATGATTCTAGCTCAGGAACACTTGAGCTTTTTAAAATATGTGTACATGGGGACCTGGCACAGTAACCTAGTGGCTAAGTCCTCTCCTTGAACATGCTGGGATCCCATATGGGCACCAGTTCTAACACCGGCTGCTCCATTTCCCATCCAGTTTCCTGTTTGTGGCCTGGGAAAGCAGTCGAGGACGGCCCAAAGCCTTGGGACTCTGCACCCGTGTGGGAGACCTGAAAGAAGTTCCTGGATCCTTGCTTCTAATGGGCTCAGCTCTAGTCACTACTGCCACTTGGGGAGTGAATCATCGGACGGAAGATCTTCCTGTCTCTCTTCCTCTCTGTATGTCTGACTTTGCAATAAAAATAAATAAGTCTTTAACATACATATATATGTATACAATCTACTTATTTGAAAGGCAAAGTGAGAGAGTGAGAGGGAGACCTTCCATCTGCTGACTCAACTCTGCAAATGTGGACAAAAGCCTGGTTTTGGTCAGGCAGAAGCTAGGAGCCAAAAGCTTCTGTGTCTCCCACGTGAATGGCAGGGGTCCAAACATTTGGGTCACCTTCTCAGTTTCATTAGCAGGGAGCTGGATCAAAAGCAGAGCAGCCAGGATTCCAATTGGCACTCTAATATGGGTTGCTAGTGGTGTTGGCTTAACCCCCTGTGGCATAGTGCTGGCCCTACATATGATGCTTTGTTTTGTTTTAATATTAAAGATTGATTTATTATTTGAGTGGCATAGTCACAGAGAGGAAGAGGAGAGCGAGAGGTTCCATCTGCTAGTTCACTTCTCAAACAGCCACAGTAGCCAAGGACCAGGCCAAAGCCAGGAGCTTCTCTGGGCCTCCTACATAGGTACAGGGTCCCAAGAACTTGGACCATCTTCTACTGCTTTTCCTAAGCCATTAGCAGAGAGCTGGTTTGGTAGCGGAGCAACTAGAACATGAAGTAGTAGCTGGAAGGGATGCTGGTGTCACACGTGGCAGCTTTATCTGCTCTGTTATAACACCCCACCTGATTTAAAGAGACTGCAGCCACTTGGTCTGGCCTAGCATTATGTGTCCTGCCACAGTTTTTGCATTTTATTCTAGAAACAAGTGTTCTCTGTTGGGTTTGAAAGTGTTGTTCTGGGTGTTGGAGTCGGGGAGTGTGCTAGAGGAGAGGTGCCTAGGCGGCTGGATGGCTCTTTGTATTCACGGTGGATGCAGGCAGCAGCCTGGGCCTCTACTTATCCACATGACCAGCCCCCACTTCTTTCCTCCAGAGTGGCCTTTCCCTCCGACAGCAGTGTCCCCACCCCTTGGTGTGCAGGAGGCTGGAATTGTGTGGAGTAACACAGTTCCTTATCCCCTATGAGTCGCCTCTGAAAGGCTGGCGTTTTCGGTCCTTCCTGTTGTCTTCAGCTCCCAAATTATAAGATGGCTGCCTCTTACAAACCTTGTTTATTTTAGTGGAAAATTATAGCTCTGCTCTTGTTGGCAGTGGTTTCTGAACACAATAGTTAGAATATCCCTAGCTCCTTGAATTATGCCCTAGACAATAGAAACAGGGAGCTGGTAAGAATTCAGGGTTGGGGGGTGGTTTGAGGAGGGATTAGGGCTGTTAGTAAGCAGGAGGAAAGGCAGGTAAATGAGTCAATGAGCTTCATGGAGTTGGCAGTTCTGGGAAAATGTCATACATCTGATTCTTGGGTTCCTTGACGAGTTCCCATTGCTGCTCTGGGGTAGTCTCTGGGCTTGGCTTCTCGGTGATGAGGATGGAAGAGCTATCGTTGCTGGTGTTGGATGAACCAATGATATTGACTATTTTAATGGGAGGATTTAGCCGCATCTCAGGTTTGATCCAGTTCATGGCTAAGTAGTTCTAGAGAGAACAGAGCCATGCAGCAGGATGGAGGTGGCTTCCTCTGCTCACCCCCTGCTGTCTGTCCCTGTGCCCTTGGTTGCCACTCACCGGGGTTGAATAGATAAAGTGGAAGAGCATCAGCGCTATGCTCACTAGGATTGACAAGGCTATGATCTTGTAGCGGTAGCGTTTCCAGAAAACAAGGCAGAAGTTCTGAATTGGGGATCGCAACCATGAAAAAGAGGCATCCGGGCGTCTGCATGAACAGAGGTGGCATCAGAGGAGGGAGGGGGAATGAGGGGGATAGAGGAGCAAAGGGGAGCTTGCTCTTTCAAGAAAGTGACTCCGTGCCTCATGGCCCCACCCTAGTCTGTTCTCTCCAGACTCTGTGGTGGGCAGCAGCTGCCCTGTCCACAGTCACTGCCCTGTGAAACCCCAGAAGCCTTACAGTGGAGGGTGGAGTGTGGGATACTGATTAGGTTCCGACTGGCCTCGGCCTGCTGGCTTGATTAAGGCTTCCTTCTGTGACAGAATTTCCAGCGTCATCTTCACTTTGCCCTAGGAACATCACGGGTGGGGAACAGGGTGGGATGAGGGCATCTGCCCCAAACCTAGCAGGGAAAAGACATGAGCCAACATACCCCTTCCCACGCCCCAAAGTCCTCAGCCAGGCTGTATGATTCATAGGCCTGTTCCTCAGGTACCTTCCCCAGTTCCTACCGACTGGCGCCACTTGTCACCATCAAGGACCTGGCAAGGCCACCAGCCAGTTACAGTCGTCTTCTTAAAGAGAGAGAAGTGCTTGTGTTGAAGAAATTGGGGCCACTTGGGGTCCTGTTCCATCATCCTGAGGGAGCACTGCTTGGCGCTTTGGGCCGGGTAGGGCATGTCGGAGAGATCTAGCTCTAGGACCCCTGAAGCCAGAGAAACGCCATCAACAAGGAGCTCCGTTGTCCTGGGGGCCCAGGCCCTGGGCCAAGCCCTCACCTAGGAAGTCATCACTGGTGAAGGTATCATTGTCCCAGACCTGGATGATGAGCCGGGCTGGGAACTTCGTTGATGTGGGGTCCAGGCTCCATATGTAATCCTGGATTGTGGTGGAAGAGTGTGTTACTAACCCATGTCTAACATCTCCCTTGGACCCTAAGTAGCCTGCCACCCTGAAGTGTAGACAACCAATGAAGAGGGCTTCATCCTAATGTTTTGGTGTAACTGTCAGGTCCCAGAGGGCTGGGGGTTACGGGGTGAAGGAAGGATGCTCTTGCAGCCCAAAGACTACCCTGCCACCTGCACCACCAGGTCTGTCACCTTCTGGCTCTGGACGCACATACACTCTGCTGCCAGATAGTCCATGGAGAAGATGAACCGCCAGTTGAAGGTGCCCTCGCCATTTAAGGAGTGGTAGTGGATATCTGTCTTTTGCGTGTCTTTCTCCATCCCGAACAGCCACCTGTAGCCACAGCCTTTTGGCCTGCCGCTTGCATGTGTGTGGGTGGTCCCCACTCATGGCAGGCACAGGTTAGTGGCAGAAGAAAGAACTGGGGGAACCTGAGGGACTGGCGCCTCCTCACCCTTTGATGTAGATGTCACTCGTCTTCTCACTGGTCAGCGAAACGTCCACCAGGTCCACGTCGGCGGTTTTCCAGATGATACAGCGCAGCTCATACCTGTGGCCACTGTGCTCTGAGGCCCTGCTGAGGCCTGGTTCCCCAGCAGCAGCCTTGTTGGGGGGAGGCGGGCCAGAGGCTTCCCCCCAACCCCAAGTATTCCGACTAGATTTAGGGAGGTTCATGGGGAGGAGACCTCCTAGAGGAGCTTCCACCTATTTCCAATAGAGAAAGAATGACTAGAGCTCAGCACTTAGCATAGTGGTGTCCTGGGAGAGCTGAGCCATGAAACGAAGGGCCCCGGGGTGTGGGCTGTCACTCACCGTTTAGGCTTTCGGGGGCTGATGTTGACATGGGGGCCAGGAGGCCCCAGGTTCTTGGGAAAGATGTCCACCCACAGTTGCAGCTTTCCCTAGAGCCAGGACCAGTTATTGAGCTTCAGGTTGTTGGCCTCTCAGCAAGTTGACCCCGGGAAGCCCAATAACTAGCATTCAGGGGGCAGGACAACCACCCACCAAAGGTCCCCCTTGTTTCTTATTGTGAGAGCAAAGCAGAGAGATTGGGGATTATGGCTAGGCTTTTCTTTGTTAAGCAGCTTGGTGGCCCTGAGTAAGAGGGAACCTCAGATTTCCAGGCCATTCAATGTTATGTGATCACAACCCAAAGAGATGAAATGAGTGCAGAGGACTGAGAAGAGGAAAGATACAAATGGTGAATAAAGGAGAAAAGAGCAGGGGCGGAATAACTTAACTCTGGTATGTGAATGTGTTTTGTCTCAACCAGCTGGAGCTAATTTTAGTCTTTGGAAGCTAGCCCTGTTTAAGACAAGGGATTTCATGAGAAGCGTAGTTTTTTTGTTTTGTTTTCTGTTTTTTGTTTTTTTTTTTTTAAATGCTTGGCAGAGAGATGGAGAGAGTGAGAGGAGCCATTCTGGTGGCTGGAGAGAAGGTGGTAATTAGGGTGCCTTTGGGGATTTTCATTCCTGCATTTGGAGTTCCTTGCCTTGGAGAAGACAGCCTGCAATTAACAGCCAGCACCAGAGTTATAATGTCTGCCCCATCTGGCCTGAGGTGCCACCTCCTGTCCCTTTTGGGAGAGACCGGAGCAATGGAGGTGGTGGTAGGTAGGACTCCGTCACACTTCCTACACTGGTATGCAGCCTCCGTGCCTTGTCGATGACCTCTTCAGGTTACGAGAGTTTTAAAAGTGACAGCACCAGAACCTCTTGCTAATTAACATATGCAAAAACACGTGTGCTGTGCATGTTTATACCTGAATACTTGGCCTGCCCTCCCCCACACCATGCCCTTTTAACTCTCAAACCTGGTCAATGCCTGGCTGGCTATTACTGTACAGTGTGCGGGTCTCCACGTGCTCGGGGACCAGCCCCTGGGTGTTCAGGATGTACAGGGCCAGCCGTTCTTTCTTGGGTCCCAAACCAGGCACATTAGGGGGCTTAGGCTCTGTATTGGAGACAGATGGAAAGGGGGGTCCTGACGTCATTGGATGCCCCTCTCCCCTTTCCTGGGGACTGGATGTGCTGTCTTCTTCAGGAAAAAGGGAAAGTTGGGTTGCCTCCTTTTGCCTGACCCCATCCCAGTGTCTGAAGCAGCCAGCCCTTTCCAGAGCCTCCCTGGGGCAGAGTCCTGCAGCTGAACTGCTCACCAAAGCTCTGCAGTTTGAATTTTTCCCCATTGTATAAGACAGAATCTTCTTCCAGGCTGTACAAAGGTGGTGGCAGGCCCTTCTGCTTGGCAAAGCGCTCTAGCATGTGGCTGGGGGACATCTGGTCCCGCCACCTGAAGGGCCCTGTTCTGCAGGGATATGTGAAAGGCAGGTTCTGGGTCCCTTCTTCCCTACCCCCGCCACAGGAGCCTTGGGCTCACTACACCTCTCCCCGCTCCCATCCACCCCAGACTGGTCCATGCTCACTGGCAGTATGTTTTAGCAAGCCCACAACTAGCATGAAAGCCAGACAAGAGTCTGTCTTCCAGGTCGATTACTGTACTTCCAATCTCGTCATCAGCTGACACAAGGTCAAAGTCAAGTATCTGGATCTCCAGATCCTTCTCCAGGGGAATGTTGCAGGTGAGCTCAAACAACCTAGAGGAGAAAATGTTCTAGCCTGGAGATGACATGTGCTCTCTTGTCATCCTCACTGGTGTCTCTGCCCCTCATTTATTCATGGTTATTATAGAGAATAGAATGCAGGATAGACTGAGGCCTGTCAACAGCCATCCCCTGGATGTGGCTCAAAGTTAACTTCCTAAGCTAAACTTGATGGTAGAAGTGGAGGTCCCCCATCTGTTGAGAACCTAGAGTGTGTAGGGCACCATGCTAGGAATTTGTGGGCTGGGATGCAGGGCAGGAGTCTGCTTACTGGGACTGAAGGCCAACCAGCACAGTATAGAAGGTAGAGAGGACTGGGGGAGTTGAGGCAACTCACATGCCAAAGATGGGATCCAGGGTGTTGGGCCGGTACGTGTCCCGGTTGCCAAGCTTTGTCTGCCCCATTTTCAGGATCACATAAGGATCACACTGTCGTCACATGTGATGGTCGTGGCAGGGGGGAGGAAGTGGGGAATCAGATGTGGGGCAGAAATGAGCCCTGGCACCACATGGAGTGTGTGGGCAGTTGGGCATGGGCAGACTGAGGGATCTCCAGGAAAGGTTAGGGATTGGGCAGGGCATGGGAGGTTCCTGGGCTGGACAGGGCTACTCCTTACCAGGCCATTGTAGTCCTGGGGCTGCAGATTGATGGCTCGTACTATGTATACCCGCACCAGGCACTGCTGAGGGAAATCCTCTCTGTTGGGCCAAACCAAGAACTGGCGCGGGGGCTTGGGAGCCTCTGGATTCTCAGGAAAGGGGTAGATCCGGAAAAGGCCCTGTGGGATGAGGGGGTGTTGGGGACCCAACCCTCCAGGAAGGACTCCTGGCCTGAATTCCGTAGAGAGGGTCAGGTAGAGGATCATGGGGACTATAGCAGCAAACGCAGCACGGGGCTTCTGCAGGGATCACTGTGTTTACGAGGGGTCCTGGGGAAAGGGACTCAGGGTGCTTAGTTGATGATCGTGTTTCTGCTGAGGGAAACTCCTGCCTACCCCACCCCTCTATCCATTACTTCAAGCTTGAGTTTATCCTCAAGACAAAGTTTATGCTCAAGAGGGAAGGCCCTCACTCTTCCTGTGTGAGGGAAGGCATCTCCCTCCCGGAACTTCCTCAGGCCCTCCCTACCAGATCCTCACCATGAACATTTAGAGCCAGGGCTTTATATTAGGGTCTTCTGGGGGGACAGAGAGGGCACACAGATGGACAGCTGGGCACATACCTTGAACTCGCCTACCACAGGGCTGTCCACCTTGGGCTGCTCCTGGTAGAGTTTAAAGGTCTGACAGAAGTCCTGCAGGCCTTGGAAGGCTGGAACCGCCTCCAGCTCACAATCATACACCTGTCAGGGGAGGGGAGGGGGGAGGCCATTCCTGGGATCACCAGGGGCTTTCTCCAAAGTGTCCACCCAGGTGGTCCCAGCAGCAGAACCACCTGCTTCAGCCTTGGTACTAGTGGAGGTTTCCCTGGAGGACACTGTGGAAACTCCCATCTATACACTCTTGGAGGTTTCCAGAGGAAGCAAGCTGGACTTGGCTGGTAGTCTGAGTGGGAGGTTGCATCTTATCTCAGCATTCTCCTTCTCCACTCCTGATCTCCCAATCCCATCCCTTGAGGGTCTCCCAACCTTTAGGGTGAAGTAGTCTTTGTACTTATACTTCAGGGACTTGTCATCACGTGTGGCCCAGAAGAGCTTGCTCCACCAATCCACCTCATGGTCAAAATCATCCTGGCAAGGAAGAGGAGAATGACACCCCCCCCCCGCCAACATGCACACACCCGCTGCACTCCCTACCTCCTTGAACCAATAGGTGGTTCCCTGTACCCTGGGGCTAAATGTCCTTCACCTCATCTTTGCTGGACTTGTACCAGAACTTCTTGTAGAGATTTCCTAGGATCTGCAAAGTAGAGGGTGAGCAAGGTGTATACCCAGGCAGTCAGGGACTCAACCTACACTTCCTCTTTGGGCTCTAACTCTTGACTTTTGGGACACAGTCAAGGCTGAGGCGAGATGGATGGGAAGCATGGGACTCCAAGGGCCACTTGGAGTTTCAGTAGCTCCTGAACTGGAAAACACACCACAGCCATAGGGCTGGAGGAGGAAGGACTTAGAAAAGATGTCCTGGGGCCCAGGAATTCTGATGGAATCCTTCAGGGTCTTGAGTCTGTGACCATCTCAGGGGACTCTACAGTGTGGTCTAGGCTGAGAGTAACAGATTCAGCATTCCTATGCATCATTAGGGTGCAGGAGCCGAGAAAGAGTTAAGATAGAGAAGGCTGGGCTGGGTGCCCGAGCTCACCGCATTTTGCTTCTTCTCGACCAGCACTGTGTGGAGAGAATGCAGTTGGGAATCTCAGGTGGAGGCTGAGGAGGAGGGATGCCAACCCCAAAGGGAAGCCAAGCCCTTCCCCAACCCACAGCAGGAGACTCATGGTGGAGGCCTGAGGGAGGGAGCACAGAGCAAGGGGCCCGTACTTGGCAGCCGTGGGGGTACATAGTCCATAGCCCAGGGGTCACAAAAATATGGCTGGAGGAAGTCGATGTTGGCCTGACCCACCATGCTCCGCTGGCCATAGTCCTGGTTATCTACCACCTTGACCATGATGGGCAGTGCATAGGCTTCCTCTGTGGGCATGAGCTGCATGAGAGGCAGGAATGTGAGCCCCACTTCCCAGCCCCAGGAGAGGGCTGCCCCTGCCCTTGCTCCTCCTCCTCTAGGTGGCGGGGGGTCTCTTACCACCAGGAGGAAGAGGATGGGCTCAGGGAAATTGGGGTTGGTCTGGAAGTCCTTGATGGGTTCCGTCTTGATTGACTCCTCTCCACACTCCACCAGGAGTTGGGGGTAGTGCACCTTCTTCAAGTTCCGAAGGCCCCAGGCCAGGATCTACCAGGACCAAGGAGGGTGGGGCTGTGGCAGCCACCACCCCTTTCACAGAGGAATCCCAGGGGATGGTGGTGTCTCAGAAAGCCTGCAGGGCTAGACAGTGAGACTGAGGCACCCCCAGCCTGCACAAAGTCCACCAATGGCCTGAAGGCCTTCATGCCTCCCTTTGGGAAGAGTGTCTTCTAGCCAAGACCACAACCTCCACTGACCTCCAGGCCCTTGAGTGCTGATCCTGCCTCACCTGCTGCCTTTTCTGGCCTCCCATCCCTTCCCAGAGGAGAGGTGCTAAGTTTGGTTGCCTCTCAGGGCCACGTCCTCCCTGTGGCTCTATGACTCAGATGGGGGCTCCATGGATGCTCAATGACTGAGCTGCCCACAGACATGGGACATCCCAAGACATGTCTAGGCCCTGACTTCTGAAGGCCTTCCCAGGAGCCCAGAGGAAGGGACTAGCCAGGTGGCCTTCAGTCTCCTGAGCTCCTGGCTATCCTCTTTGCCCTCTGTCAGTCCCATGGCAGGGACGTATGGGTTCCAACCTGGATACTTCCAGGCTATACTCCAAACAGGAGTGAAGCCTGCCCTGGCATTTAGGATTGGGCAGCACTGGGTCTGGACTGTGGCTGTCACTTAGCCCCTGTATCAGTGTATGGAACATTTCTGCAAGTATTTTGGGCGGCATGGGACTTGAGCATGACAAACACTTGAGCCCTTCGCCTACTGCATATTGCAGAGCTTAGCAGTGAGCTCACTTATAGCATTAAATGACAGTCTCATTTCTCTCCCAACCCCATCTCTCACTGAGTGTCAATCTTGGGGCCCAAGCTTCAGGTCAGCAAGTAAGGAGGGCCCACAGCAGAGCCACTCCAGGCTGTTCTGGATGGTGCTTGAAGTGCCCACTCATCCTCTCCCCACCTGGCACACACCTCGATGGCCATCTTCTTCCGCGTGGGCTGGAGGCTCCTGGGCAGCATGTAGACCCCGTTCTTCAAGAGGACACTCAGGATTGGTGGCTGTGTCTCTCTGAGCTTCTGGAAGGGCCGAGGTGGGAGATCAGGGAACATGAGGGCCCATGAGGCAGATCCTAGGGCCCCCATCCCCAGCTCAACCAGGTTCCTCAGAGGCTGGGAAGGAATTACAAGGATTGGAGCTGGCAGGGAGGTGGGAGAGGGACTGAGCAGGTGCTATCCCTGAGCCCGGTGCCAGGCTTTTCCTGCTGCCTGCAGAAGATTGTGTTCAGGGGTGCCAGGGGAGGGGGCACTAAGCATTACCCTCTACCATTGTGTCCCGTTTCCCAGTACCTCCGTCTCCAGGATCAGTTCACAGGATGCCAAGACCTCACCCTCTTCCTCCCCCAAGTCTTTCACAAGTGGGTGCCACCGCATTGGGGGCAGGATCCGGTCTTGGAGATCCAGCCAGACCACAGGGGGCCATATGCTCCGTCCCCACAAGCTCTCCTTGCCCTAGAGGAGAAGAGACATTCACACAACCTGGAGACTAAGCTAGCACAGCATCAGCTCCTTGCTTGCCCTTGCTGTTGCCTGGCAAAGGGCAGTAACCAGCTGTGTTTGATATGGCACTCTTGGCACACTGGGCCTCCCTAAGTGTCAAGGCCGGAGAATCCTCAGCCACATTACCTGGGAATTGCGCTGCCACAGTTCCAGCACTAGGAGTGGAGGGCTCTCCTTGGTGTCCTGGGGGTTCTCATATAGAAGCAAGTGCTGGAAGATGAGTGTCTGGGCCCAAATGGGGGACGCAGAGCTGCGCACAGCTTGGGTGCACTGGCTGTGGTTTAAGAAGATGACACGGATGAAGGGCCCTGGGGGAGGGGCAAGGCAGGAAGTCATGAAGCCAGGCTCCTTCTGGCTGTTGCAATAGCTGGCTAGACCTGGGACCCCCAAGGCCAGACCAGGAGCCTGTTGCCAGTGGTTCATAGGCACCAGAAGCTGAGAGCGAGCCAATCGCTGATGCCAGGGGCCATGGATTTCCAGTCATGCACACTTCCCATGGCCCTCTCAGTGTGGGTGACAATGCCCAAGGGACACAGTCTCCAGGAGGCATCCTAGGAGCCCTTCACCCACCTCCTTGGCCCCCTACAACTGCCACTAACAGCACAGGCTAGGGCATGCACATCACCCATGGCTCTTCCTCCCAGGGCCTCCTCCCCACTCCTCGTTTTGTGTCTGACCACTGGTGGCAACTGTTTCCCAAAAATGTCACCCCTCTCTCTTGTTTTCTCATCTCACAAGTACTCTGCCAGGCAAACGCCTTGCTCTTCAAGGCCCAGCAGAGTGGTCACCTCTGGGGTGACATTCCCCTCTGGCATCTCTTCCCCTTTCTTATTCCACAGTCCAAGGTCTCTGATTCTGTCTTTTTCCCAAAACAAGGCTATAAGCTGCTTCAGAGATAGAGGAGGGTCTGCACCTTTGTCACACCCTTACCCCCAACCCGCTCTTTCCTTGCTGCATTCATTATTCTGCTAGATAGCCATGTTGTCAGGCCCCAGTGGGTGGCTGGAGGACAAGGGATGGTCCTACCCTGGAATGTCAGGATCTGGTTGGAAAGCAAGTTCCGGGCCTGGTAGATGTAGCAGAAGAGCTGGTAGTAGTGAGGCTCTAGGTAAAGAGGGGTTCCAGCTGTCACATGTCCCCAGGATCCCCCAGCTCTTCCTCATTCCCCTCAGGTCCTGGCCTCTGGGGCCACCCACGCAGACACTCAGGGTAGTGCTCACTGTTGATCAGGCAATAGATGAAGGGCATGTTGGGAGGCCGGGCCTCCATGGGGCGCTCCCTCCATGAGTCTCTGAACTGACTCCACCGGCCCAGCTTCTCATCTTCTTTCTTGTAACTATTCTTCAGATCCTTCCCCTGCACCCAGAACAGTGCCCTGCTGAGGCTCCTGCCTGCACCTGGCTCCTCCAGATGGGTTTAGGTCAATCCTGAGGAGCAGGCGCAGGCTTCCCCCTAGTCATGCCCCAAGGAGCAGTCCCAGACCTCCCCCTGGCCATACCCCCAGGCCAGGCCCTGGCTCCTGGGGAGTAGGGTGGGGTCAGAGGCTACCATCACCCAGGCCACTAAAGTTTTACCAAAGAGCCTTCCAGGAGGAAGATGGACGCAATGCCCCTGTCCTGGTCTGGGACCAGCTTGCGGTGCCAGCAACGACGGCGGAACTGACTGTTGGGCTGTGGGTCCAGGTGGAACTTGGAGCCAAAGGTGCCATACTCCCAACCCTCATCCTCCTTGTCCAGGCCCTGATGTGGGGGGCAGAAAAGCAGGGTCATGCTGCTGAGGTTGCAAGCCAAGATCCCCACCTCCCAGGTCCCGTACCTGCTGCAGGAAAGAGAGGGTTTCCTGCTCTTGACTCAGCTTCTCCGGATCCCGGTAACGCAGGCGCACCCATCGCCTGCGCCGGCGTGAGTGGTAGGTCTTCTCCACTGAGCTCCAGACCTGGGGCATGCCCGATGGCGGGATCCCCACTCCATACTCCCAGCCTGCAGGGGAGGACCATGACCTCAGTGCATCTCAGGTGCCTGTAAGCTGGGAGGCCTGACAAGGCCTGGAAGATGCACCTCTAGAAGGGACAGCTCTGTCATTTGTCACCTCAATGGTCTGTGCCAAGCTGCCCATCTTACAAATGGGAAAGGGTTGGCTCCTGTGTGAGACACAGGATGGGGCCGCTGAGAGTTTGGGCCCTAATGCCAGGCCTTCCTATCGCTCCTTCTCTGGAGCCATATTGGGTGAACTCAGGCTCCAGGGCCCAGTCCATGTTCACATGCACCTGTTAAGAGTTGCTATGGGCCAGGCCCACAGAGACACGTGGAATCTGAGGGCCCCTGAAAGGGGGTGAAGACTCAGCCCCTCAGAGGCTGGGGGACCTGCAGAACTCAGGCCTAGGCCACTTGCAAGCTTGCCCGTTCCAAGGCTGTGGAAAGTTTGGGAGCTTCCCTGCCTGCCCAGAAGCCAAGTGGAAAACCCAGGCTCTCCTCCCCTCAACCCTGAGCAGAGGACTGACCATCACTGTCCACGGCATGGCTCAGCTCTACAGTCCAATTCTTCTTAAAGTGCCAACCCGGGGGGCACTTCATACTCTCCCGGGCCTCAGCTGGCTGTCCATCCTATGGGCACAGAAAGGGCAAGGCCAAGGGCCCACAAATAGAGAAGGTGACTTTTGGGGACCACAAAGCAGTTGCTACATCTGATATCACCCAAGTCATCACCTAATATGCTTTTATACCTTGTAATTTTGGACTATAATGTGCTCTCTCCTTGTTGAAAACGAGAGAGGCTGGCATTGTGATATAATAGGTTAGCCAGCCACCTGCAGCATCAGCATCCCATTTGAGTGCTGGTTTGTAACCCAGCTGCTCCACTTCGGATCCAGCTCCCTGCTTACGTACCTGGGAAAGCAGCAAGGGATGGCCCGAGTGCTTAGGCCTAACGTGGGAGAACTGTACGAAGTTTGTGGCTCTTGACTTTGCCCTGACCCAACCCTGGCTGTTGCAACCATTTGGAGAATGAACGCAGATGGATGATATTTTTCTCTCTCTAAATCTGCCTTACAAATGCATCTTTAAAAAATAAAGATTTTTTTTTTATTGGAAGATCAGATATAGAGAGGAGGAGAGACAGACAGGAAGATCTTCCATATGGTGATTCACTCATCAAGTGGCCACCACAGCTGGATCTGAGCCAATCCAAAGCCAGGAGCCTCTTCTGGGTCTCTCATGCAGGTGTAGTTCCCAAGGCTTTGGGCTGTCCTCAACTGCTTTCCCAGGCCACAGGCAGGGAACTGGATGGGAAGTTGGGCTGCTGGGATATGAACTGGCACTCATATGAGATCCTGGCATGTATAAGGTAAGGACTTTAGCTGCTAGACTATTGCACCGGGCCCACAAATACATCTTTAAAAAGGAGGAAAGAAGCAGCCCAGCATGATGGCCTAGTGGCTAAATCCTCACCTCACAACCTCTGGGATCACATATGGATGTACTGGTTTGTGTTCCGGCTGCTCCACTTCCCATCCAGCTTCCTGCTTGTGGTCTGGGAAAGCAGTTGAGGATGCCCCAAGGCTTTGGGGCCCTATACCCATATGGGAGACCCAGAAAAAAACTCCTTTCTCCTAGCTTCAGATCAGCTTAGCTCTGGCCATTACAGCTACTTGGGGAGTGAACCAGAGATGGGAGATCTTTCTGTTTTTCCTCCTCTCTGTAAATCTTTCTTTCCAATAGAAATAAATAATTTTGAAAAAATTTTTAAAAAGGATGAGAAAATGAAAAATACAAGAAAGGGACTTCTGCCTCTTGTGTGGTTTGGTTTGCTTTCTTCATTTTTAAAAATGATTTTTATGTTTTTGGAAGGTGAATACAGAAATCTCCTATCTGCTAGTTCAGTCCTGAGATGCCTGTGATGGCTGGGGTTAGGTCAGGCCAGAGCCAGAGCCAGCACTCATTGAGCCAACTACTTGAACTGTCATCTGTTACTTCCCAGGGCACACGCTGGCAGGAAGCTACAATGGAGAATGGAGCTGGGGTTCAAACCTAGGCACTCTGGATATGGTAGCGAACATCCCAAGCAGCAAGTCAACTACTGTGCCATCCCCCTACTCTCCCGGCCCTTCTTCCCGTCTGACTTTAAGGCATCTCAGAGCTGCCATCTCGGAACATTCAATACCAGGAGGGGTTGCAGACTGAAGCTCTTCCCAATGGTTCCCCAGCCCTCGGGACCAGGAGCAGGTCTCAGGCCACAGTTCCTGTCACTGGGACATCCCAGCTTCCATGTCCCTGGCTGCCTCTCTTGCCCTCCCCTGTTCCCCTATTCCCTAAGGCAGTTTCATCCTGGCTCACCACATCCGTGTTAGGGATTTCTGCAGGCACCCAGACACCAGTTGCATCACGATCCTGGTTCTCGTATACCTGCTCCAGCACCTGGCTCTTGTTGATGTCAGTGTCCAAGAGGAGTCTGCGGGGAGCAAGACTCCAAGTTCCCATTGTGACTCCTGGATCCTACTAGTGCCTGGGACATCCTCTGTCATTAAGCTGCCCTCCAGCCCCCATCTGCCAAGACCCAGCCTCCAGGCAAGGAGACAGAATAAGGCATGTGCCTTGAGCATTCCACGCAGCCCACATGGGTCAGGTCCCATGACTCTGCCAGCTGGTACTCTGGGCTGATGGCATCTGGCCCTCTTGGGTGATGACAAGTGTCAGCTTCAGTGTGGCATACCCAGGGTCTTGGAGGCTCACAGCCTCTATGCCCCCACCTCACCTCCTCTGAGGCTCTATTGTCCACTTGTCCTGCCAGTGCCATCCTGTGGGTGTCTTGAAATCTGTCTTGGGGAGGGCCATGTGCCCTGTGACATCTGAGAAGTTGGGGCATCGGTACAGCCCCTGTGGCCCCCACTGGTCTTTCTGCTTGGCCTGATTCTCATACTGGAGGAGGGCAAGGGCATTAGCTTACCGCTTATCGTCTGTGGCCTCCAGCCCACAGCCTTAGTCTCTGCCACTTCCAGCAGACCCCTCTCAGATTTTGTCCGGAACCTCTTCCTCTGACTTCAGAGTTGGTCTTAGGCAGCCACACCCTCATTCCAGGGGCCACTGCCTCCCACTGCCCAGCAGGTCAGCCTCCTCCAGCCCACTCACCGTCTCCGCATAAACCACCAAGTTGCCCTGACGGGGCAGCTGCAGGTGCTGGCTGTGGGTGATGTTGCCAAACCACATGCAGACCCGGAGGTGGGCTGCGATCATGTCCTTCTCTCCTTCTCCCTCTGGGTACTAAGCCAGAAGCAGGTCAGGCTCTCAGGGGGTGCTAGTCCCATGGGGCCAGGAGGTGGCTGAGGGAGGGGCATGTACACCAGACTGGCCCACACCTGCCCCTTTCCATTGAGTCCCAATGCTGCATCCAAAAAGTGAATGGTCCACAATTGTGCCTGCCAGAGTGCGAGATGCCAGGCAAATGGCCTACCCTGTGACCCCCCCCCCCCAAGAGGGAGGTAAGGGAGTGGTAGGGGAGAAGGGCTCCTCAGGGCAGTGGTAGTAATAATGATGTCAACATTGATCATTCCCAAAGCATATGCAAGGGGTGGCATTGTACTAAGCCCCAAGTGTGTGACTGTGTCTGGATTCACACGCCCCATCTTGAGGCAGGCAGTGTTACCACCAAGTCCCACCTACACAGATGTGGTCAGAGTCAGCCCAAGGTTTGATTTGGTCAGCCCAAGTCAAGATTTGAGTCTCAGGGATTCTGGTAGGATGAGCGGGGCTCCCAGAGGGGTGGGAGAGGCTTTGAGTGACAGTGACAAGGCCTGGGTCACTGAAACCCAGTGTGGCCAGAGCGCTTTAGGGTATTGAGGGGCAACCATAGCCAGGCCTGGAAGGGTACACCTTCTTCAGGATACACTTTGTGGCTCAGAGGATGAAGAGAGAGCCCCTCTCCCAGCAGCCTCCCAGGGAGCAGGAGGCTGAGGTCAAGGCTGGGCAGTGTGCACAGGCTCCAGGCAGTCTTAGAGCCTGTAGGTTCTGCCTGCTATGGTAGGGGCAGCAAATGCCCTGGAGCTGACTTGGTCCCTCAGAAAATGACAGAGCTGAATTTTAGGATGGTAGGTGATAGATGTGGACATGGTGAGAGCTTTACATGCAGCCAGTCACAGGCCCCTGCTCCTCCGTGGACTCCTTAAGCCCCACCCATCCTGTAAAGGACCAGGGAGAGAGAAGGGGCCCCATGGGCTCAGGGCATGGGAGTTCAGGACACGCTCCTTTCTCTGAGGACTTTGGCTTCTCACCTGCAGCAGGAGTGACTGGATCTTCCCACAGAAGCAGCCGGACTGCAGCCTCCCCTCCGGGGAGAAAAGGATGGTGTGGGCAGGTACCCGAGCATAGGCCACTCGCTGTTCTTTGGCCATCAGCCAGATCATCACATCCGGGAAGTTCATCTGGGGCTGCAGGCAGGGTCAAGGTCAAGGGTTGTGTGGCCAGCTGCTAGCCCTGTACCTCAGCAGCCGCTATTGTCCAGCACACACCTCCGGGAGCACAGCATTGAGGCGGCGCAGCCAGCCCTCCCCTGTGGCCACCATGTTCCTGGGCTTGGCGTCCTTGGCCTTTTCAGCCACTTCCTGGAGGAGCAGGTTGCGGAGCTGCCACTTCTTCCTGTCCAGGTTGCTAGCTTTGGGCTCATCCGTCATGCAAGGCAGAGGACGCCTGGGGGCGAGACAGGGAGCAGGGGGCTGGACCCCTTATGCATCTCCCCATATCACAACTTCTGGACCGGCCGTGGCCAATGTGCCCTTCCTGGTCCCAAGATCCTGACCCAGGTGCCAATGGGCAGACTAGGGTGCCTCACTCCCCCGTAACTCCAAGCACCCTGCTCTACTGTGGGCCTGGTCCCAGGTTCTTCTCCAAGCCCCTCCTTCTGCTCAGTCTCTGCCATGTGCCCAAAGACTCCTTGGAGGAAAGTGTGTGTGCCATGAGATCCAGCCCATCCAGGGCTGGGGTGGGGGGCCAGGAGTGGCTGCCAGTGCATCCTACAGCCCCAGCCGAACCCTGAGGAGAGCTTCTTGGCAAGAATGAGCCACAAGGGAAACATGTGGACCCAGGGTCATTGTGGGTGCAGCTTGTATGAATGAAGGGAGAGGCTGGCTGGGTTGGGTCAGAGGTGAGGATAGGAGGGACTAGGTTAGAGGGGGAGGTCAGGGTTGTGGGAGGGGAAGAGGCTGTGGCTCTCCACCCACCAGCCCTGTTCTCCCTGGCTGTGGTTATGGTGGTGGGGGACCCCAGTCCTACTTGCAGTCTTCCACCAGCTCCCGCAGCAGCTTCCCCCACTGCTGGAGCAGAGCTGGGTCCTCTGGGTTCCGTATGGACTTCAGGGCGTCCAGATTGGCTTTCTAGAAAGAAAGTGTGCTGGCTTCAGCATGGCGTGTTCCTGAGATCTCCTTTGGGGTTCACTGGCTCACGATGTTTCCAGCCAGGCCCAGGGGAGCTTGCAGGAGTTTCCTGGTGATGATGGTCATCACTCACAAAGCTGCTAATGCACCCTTCCTATCTCCAACACAACAACAAGGTGGCAGGGAGAAGCCAGCATGGAGTGGGACCAGGAAGCAGGGGAGTCCTGACCACTGAGCTCCCATCAGCAGGCAATGAGAAAGCCATGTCTGAGATGAGCGTCCACTCCTCAACTGAGACCTAAGACCCTTTATGATCTGACTCTCCCCAGCTTCCCTGGCTTTAGCTCCAAATCACCTTCTATCACTCCTAATAGCTCACCATGGCTTGGCAAAATTGTTGCTTTCTTCCTCCCACCCCTCCCTACCAACTCCTACATGGTCTGCAAAACCCTGCTGCCATGCTACCTCCATCCCTCTCCCCTGCCCTCTCTGACCATGGTTCAGCTGCTTTGTACAGTAGCTATTGGTCCAGCCCTCTCCCAGAGAGTGAGGACAGGGCAGTGCTTATTCATTTCTGTGTTCCAAGCCTGCTGCTGCATTTGGCCCATGCCTCTCAGTGATGAGGATAAAGAAGTGAGCAGTGTGACTGGGTTTCCCTGCTGCCCACTCCCTGCCACCCACTCCTGTGCCACTCACCAGGCGGTTCCGAGTGATGTGGAGGAGGTTGAGGCAGTTCATGCGGAAGCCGATGTCCTCCCAGTTGGAGATGATGGCCACCACAGGCTTGGTGTTGTACCATGGTACATAATGGTACATGTTCCCTGAGACACAGACACACAGACTGTGGGCAGGATGGATCTGAGGCAGCCCTGGTGGGGCTCCTCTCCCTCAGGCCCCTAGCAGGACTGGCCCGGCTACTCCATTCCTCAAGGGTGCTTGCCTGCCAGCAATGCCAACAGGACCCCCCCATCAGCCAAGTGGCCTTGCTGTGCCCTTTGATGACCCTGGCTGACTTCTGATGGGCATGAACAGCACATCACTTTTAAGAATCTTGGGCTCATGGATGGGAGAATCCAGGTTTGAGGTGCCACAGGGTAGTGTGGTCAGCAGCAGGCACACAGGTGCAGGGCCCCATGGCATGAATCCCAGGTTGGTTCCCCAGGGGTGGAGGTGGGATGGCCTATCTCCACACTGGAGAGGAGGAGTAGGCTTCTGGAAGGGGCAGATGCCAGGGGTGAGCCCAGGAGGAGCTGCCCATGCAGAGAGCTGGCAAAGCAGCTGATGTGATGGGCTGGGTCCCTAGCAGTGTTTCTGTTATAAGGGAGGAGGTACATCTCTGAGGGCATATATCTGTCTTTGGTAACTGTAGGGGTACATGTCTCAGGCTGCTTGAGGTGGGCAGTCTAACAGTAGTGTCCCTCTGTATGTCACAGTCCTAAGCCTCCGGTGCTTGCAGAATGGGGCCTCTTTAGGGACCAGAGTCCCTGTAAATGTAATTAGTTCAGACAAGGACCCGGTGACTAGAGAGCCCCTAATCCAATCTGACTGATGCTTTCATAAGAAGGGAGGCAGACAGGGAAAGATGACAGCCATGCCAAGACAAACGACATGGGGACAGCGCCACAGGAAGATGGACGCAGCAACTGAAGTGGGGCAGCTAGAATGTAAGCAGCAACGTGCAGTGCTGGCCACTGCCGGAAGCAAGGAGGGCACCACGGGGCTAACTCTCCCTCTGGGGCCTTGGAAGGAATCAATACTGCCTGCCAGGGGGTGACACTTCCACCCTCCAGACTGTTTGTTCTGGAGAGAAGAAATTTCTGTTGCTTTATAGAGTACAAGGCTAGAGCTGGTGTTGGTGGCTCAGCAAGTTAAGCTCCCTATCACAATGCCAACATCCCATATAGATGATGGTTCAAGTCCCACCCAACCAGCTAATGTGCCTGGGAAAGCAGTAAAAGGTTGCCTCCAATTGCTTGGGACACTGCTGTCCAGATGGGAATTCTGGATGGAGTTTCTGGCTCCTGTCTTTGGCCTAGCCCAGCCTGGAATGGAAATGAATGGAGGAAGATCTCTCATTGTGCTGGGCCTGAGACAAATATTAAAAACAAAACAAAACAAAACAAAACAAAACAAAAAAACTGGGATACAGTCTGTGCTAAGTAGAACACTTATCTAAACTCTTTAATGAGAAGATATGGAAGAAATTATAGCCACTCCCAAAACACACACACACACATACACACAAAGAATAACAACAAAAAATTATAGCCCAGAAAGATGACAAGATGAGTAAAATTGGAAGCAAGATTTATAATCACAATGAGCACAATAAGAGGATCCGTAAGAGATAACAGAATAGTCCAGAAGGAGTTAGAAGACATAAGAACAGGAGGGGTGTGGGCTGTCCCACATCCTCAGGTACTGATGTGGTTAGGCTGCTGGGAGTGACCCTGTCCCTCCATCCTCCAGATACAGGAAGAATAGAAAGCAAGATTGGAAGCAGTTGTCTCATCCATTTTCTCCCATTCCTTGACCCTTCCCACCCTAACTGGTGGTCCACATGGGCATGCATCCTTCTCAACTTTGTAAACATCACCAAAAATAAAATCTATTATGAAGAAAAGACCATAAGATAATAACAGTGAGGGGGAAAAAGTAGGTAAGGGCAGAGTTTGACACAATAATGAAGATACCTTGAGACATCCACGTCTCAGGTTGGAGTGCCTGGGTTTGGACTGATGCTCTGCTTCTAATTCTGGGAAGACAGAAGATGGCCCAAGTACTGATGAACTTTTCACTCATGATCTGGATTAGAGTTCCTAGCTCTTGATTTTGGCCTGGCCCACTCTAAGCTCTTGCGGTCATTTTGGGGATTGAACCAACTTGCAGAAACTCTTACTTCGTCAGTCTTTCATTACATAAAAGTCAAAATTAAGAAAGAAGAAGAGATAACTTTTAAAGAGAAAATATTCTAGAATTTCCCAGAATTGCTGAAAGACACATGTCAAACCCCTGTTTAGCACTGGAATGATCAGCAGATGGAGAGCAACAAGTTGGGTTTCTCAGGAGGAGCATGGGATTCCAGGCGGCAATTTTCCTGTTTTACTTCTGGACAGCTTACAAAAGCAACAAGGACTAGGAAAGCAACTCCATTTTCAGCAAACAAGGAGACAGACCTAATCTGCAGACTCCAAATATACACGAGGAGTGCCAAAACCAACTCCGAAGGTCACGGGAGCACTGAGGGGTGAGGAAGCCAACTGAGGAGTCGGCAGTGAGAGGCCAGTCCAAGCACAGCCCGATGGGAGCAGCCACACCAAGTGCCAGCAAAAACACTCCCGGAAGGAACTTGAGGTGCCCAGGAGGGAAGTGAGCGCGCAGAACTCAGAAAACAAGTAGAAAGAAAAATAATCAGAGGAGGGAAGGCAACATTAAGAAGCCCGGGGAAGACTGGGTCCTGAATACAACTCAATGAATCACATAGAAATAGGAACCAAAGTAAGAAACACAACCGAAGTGAAATGGAAAGAGTCAAAAATGATCCAGGCAAAATACAGCAGATACAGCAGAAAACCAAAGAATGCTAAACCCATAAATGAAGCAAGTATGTGATAAACAGAATAAGGAACACAGAACTTCAGAAAGTTCACGTGCCAAGGGTAGCCTTTAAACAAATGATGCCCACACAGCTGACTAGGCACAAGCAAATTATTTCAAAATGAAGCATTGAGCTATGCCTAAATGTCAGTACTAAAACTACAAAAACTTTAGAAGAAAGTAATAGGAGGGTTTGGTGTTATGGCATGGTGGGCTAAGCCACAGATTACAGTGCCAGCATTCTTATCAGGGTACCAGTTCAAGGTCTAGCTACTCTGCTTTCAATCCAAGCTCCTGTTGATGTGCCTAGGAAGGCAATGGAGATGGCTCAGATACTTGAGCTGCTGTCAACCATGTGCGAGACCAGGATGGAGTTCCTGGATCTTGGCTTTGTCCTGACTGTTGTGACCACTTGGAGAGTGAATCAAAGGGCAGAAGATCTTCCTCTCTGTCTCTCCTCCTCTCGGTACAGCTGACTTTCCAATAAAAATAAACAAATCTTAAAAAAAAAATTAAAAGGCCATCTGTCTCTGTCATTATAACCCTGAAGGTCAAATAAATTGTTTGCTTGTTTTTTTAAAAAAAGATTTTATTTATTTTTATTGCAAAGTCAGATATACAGAGAGGAGGAGAGACAGAGAAGATCCTCCATCTGATGATTTATTCCCCAAGTGAGCCACAGTGGCTCGTGCTGTGCTAATCTGAAGCCAGGAGCCAGGAACCTCCTCCAGGTCTCCCACACGGGTGCAGGGTCCCAAAGTTTTGGGCCATCTTGGACTGCTTTCCCAGGCCACAAGCAGGGAGCTGGATGGGAAGTGGAGCAGCTAGGATTAGAACTGGCGCCCATATGGGATCCAGGTGTGCCCAAGGTAAGGACTTAAACCACTATGCTATCGTGCCAGGCCCAATAGTTTTCTTTTTTAAATAAAAGAAGATATATGAATGGTCAATACCCATGTGAATGTTTGCTGTCATTGATGACTAGAAAAAGTCAAATTCAAATTACAACTAGGAACAACTAGAGACCTACTAGAATGACTTATACGAAAAAGACTGTCCCTGCCAAAAGTTGGCAAGGATGTAGAATAGGTGGAAATCTCAAACAGTGCAATATAGCATATAAAATAGTATATCTTCTTTGCAAACATGTTAGGCGTTTTCTCACAAAATTCAAATTTTGTCCTTAAGTATTTACCCAAGAGAAATGCACGCAGGTTTTTCACAAAAATGATGTGTACAAGAATGTTCATAGCAGCTTTATTTATTTAAGAGAGAGAATCTCCCATCTACGGATTCATTTATAATATTCTGGGGCTGGTACAGTCTCATAGCAAGCTGATTCTCTGCCTATGGCTTTGGCATCCAATATAGGTGCCAGTTTGAGTCCTAGCTGCCCCACTTCCTGATCCAGCTCTCTGCTAATGGTTTGGGAAAGCAGTGAAGGCTGGCTCAAGGCCTTAGGTGTTTACATTCACATGGGAGACACAGAAGAAACCCTTGGCTCTCAGCTTTGAACCGACCTAGCCCTGGCTGTTGCAGCCATCTGGAGAGTGATCCAGTGGATAGAAGGACTCTCTGTCCCTCTCTTTCTCTCTGTAACTCTTTCAAGTAAAAATAAATACATCTTTTAAAAATATGCAGTATTCCAGGCCCAGCATGATGGCTCAATGGCTTAATGCTCACCATTAAAGCACCAGTGTCCCATTTGGGTGCCTATTCATGTCCTGATTGCTCCACTTCCCATTCAGTTCCCTGCCTATGGCCTGGAAAGCAGTAGAGGATGGATCAAAGCCTTGGGACCTTGTAACTGCATGGGAGACCCAGAGATTCCTGGTTCCTAGTTCTTGGCTATGGATTAGTTCAGTCTGGCCATCGTGGCTACTTGGGGAGTGAACCAGTGTACAGAAGATGTTTCTCTCCTTCTTGCTGTAAATCTACCCTTCCAATGAAAATGAATAAATCTTAAAAAAAACACCCTACTATATTCCAAAACTTGAATCAACCCATATGTCCATGAACAGGTGAATGGAATAATTTTTTTTTATTTGCTGGAATGTTAATAAAATAAATAAAGAAGGAAAGAGAATCTGACCTATGTAGTAACACAGATGAATTTCTTCAACATTACACTGAAAAAAAAAAAAGCCAGAGAGAACATTACCTTCATAGAAAGTTGTAGCCAAGGAAACCAAATCTATGAAGACAACAATCATGATGAATGTCCCAGGGACTGAAAGAGCTGACTGAAAAGAGGCACATATGAATTTTCTGCAAAATAGAAATTTTTAACAAAACTTCTCAATTTGTACACTTTAAATTGGTGCATTTAATTGCCACTAAAAGAATGAAAAGACAAGCTACAAACTCACAGAAGATGTCTACAGCACATTTGTCTGGCAAAAGATGTACTGTACAGATCAATAAAAATGCTAGGACCAAGTGGAAAAAACGAACAAAAGAAACAGTTAGGCTTTTTACAGATAAAGAAGAACAAGTGTCCATAGACCTATGAAGATGCTCAACTTTCAACTCTCACTACATCCATCACATTTGTCAGCACCAAGTGCTGGTGAGAATGTGGAGTAATAAGAATTCTCACAGCAGGATGATGAGAGCGTAATTTGGTATAATCTTGCATTTACGCCCAGGAGACATGTATACTAACAACAAAAAAAATAATCTAAATAGCTGCACATGTAATTTGTCATGTAATCATACAGTTGAATTTATAAAGAAATGAAAATAAAAAGCAGCCACACATACCCATATAAAATTTTGGCATTGAACAAAAGATGCAAGGATGTGAAACAGATGAATACAGTCTGGAAATGAACAACAATGTGCCGTTTAGGATTCCATATGGTGGTGATTAAAAATTAAGAAGAAAAGCAAAGGATGATTTAACATAAGAGTCAGGGTCATGGTTATCTCTTAGGTGAATAGATCTAGGAAGAAAAAACAATTATCTTTATTTCAAGCTGGGTGGGTAAGTTAAAAGGTACTCATGTTAGTCCTTAAATTGTACAATACATTTTATATACCTTTCTTATCTGATTTGAAAGTCAGAGAGACAGAGAAAGAAACAGACACACAGACTGAGAACACTTCCATGTGGTGTACTCCTCAGATGCCCACAACAGTGTTGGGGGGTGGGGCGGGAGTCCAAAGCCTGGAGCTGGACACTAAACCCAGGTCTCATATACAGATAACAGGCATCCGGTGACTTGAGTCATGACTGCTGCATCCTGGGGTTTGCATGGACAGGAAGCAGGAGTCAGCATCCAGCTGGGACTCAAATCCAGGTACTCTGCTATGGGACATAGGGGCATTAACCACCAGGCTAAACACTTGCTCCTTAGATACATTTCATATACAGACTTCTTAAAATAAAAAAACAAGCAGAACATTATGCTAAATAAAATTAGCTAGTCAGAAAAACTGTATGATGTATACAAAATACCCAGAAAAGGGAAAATTCATAGAGACAGAAAGCTGATGAAAAATGACAAAGTATGGTTCTCTGGGACAAGGAAGCTGGGAGAGAATTGGGGAGCAATTACCAAAGGGTACAGGATTTTTCCAGGGGATGAGGAATTTATTCTAGGATTGGGACTGTGGTGGTTGTATAATTCAATGCTAAGAACTGTAGTTGGACACTTCAGATAGCACAATTATATGATATGCTAATTGTATCTCAACAAAGACTTTATTTAAAACAAAAGTGGAAAAGTGGAATACCTAGAAAGGCTTTCAATAGTGAGACTGGCAGAGTTAGCAGGGAGATGGTGTTACTTGGTAACAGCAGCTCTTGAATTTCAGCATGTACCTGAATCACCTGGCCCACTCCACTTAGCCAGCCTAATTAAATGGTTGGATGGATGGATGAGTGGATTAGTAGATAAAAGGGTGGATGGAAAGGCAGTGGACAGTAATTGGAGGGATAAATCTATTGGTGGGTGTTGCGTATAGCTGGGAGGAGGGTCAGAGTAGTGGGTGAGAAGATGGGGTTGGGAAATGGCAGTGTGAAAAGATTTATTACCGAAAGCCTTGAAGTCAAGACCTGGTTCCAGCTCCTGGCTGGGTAGTGGCTGTGATGCCACTTTCATGAACTGACTTGCCTTCCCGTGTGAAAAGTGGGTACATGATTCCCACAAATGTTCCCTACGCACGCCCTTGAAGGAGCCCAGCACACAGCATGCAATGGCAGTACTCTATGATTGGGCTTTGACAATTACCATCATATATCACAGGGCTGTACTGTGTGGTTGAAACCAGAGGCTTGTAATTCATGTCCGTCTTGCTCCCGTAGTGGCCGATGCTGACTTCGAACTGGACCAGGTCCTTAAAGTTGGGCATCATGGTACAGGACAGGAAGATGACGCACAGCCCATATCTTAGGCGGTTCTGGTGCCTCTACAATGATAAACCCCCAACACCCTCAGGACATAAGCCAAGGGATGAACAGATTCAGACAGGGGTGCTGGGGGTGTGGGTGGTAATATTGTTCATGGTATAGAGCAAGGAGGAAAAGCGCAGTTATTTCCCAAAACTATAGTGCTTGTCTCCAGGGCAAACTAGACCTCAATGCCTTCTGAAAATCCACATGGCTGGCCACAGCATCTCCTCCCAGCATCTCCATCACCTGGTCCACTCCACTCAGCCAGCCCACTTCTTTTTAAACTTAGGTAGCAGATGAACTGTCAATTAAATGGCTCCTCCCCCAGGGTGTAGTTCCCCTCACCTGGGACCTCTGGGTAGTATCATGCAACCACGCCCCTTTCCAGGCCCAGGAAAAGTCTGGCACCAGGGAGGGGTACTCATTCTACCTGTGGACACAGGATGGAAACATCTCCCATTCTCCCACCTTCCCCTCCCAGCCCACTCTATCCCTCAACATGGAGCACTTGTGTCTTTGAGTTCTCCACCTTTTAGATAACATTAAAAAAAAAAAAAAATCAGGTAATGGAGTCATGTCCCTGGCCAGCTGGGCTCTGACTTGGACTACTGCATCCCCATCCTGATTTCAGGTATTGTGCCTTATTTTTCTCAACTTCCTTCTCAGAGAAGATAGTTGGGCAGGGGTGTGTCTAGCTAAGGACACAGACCCCCCCCCCCACCGGCACACACACACACCTGTTCCTACTGGCTCATCTCTGCAAGTTCCCCACATCCCCCCTCAATAGTTGAATCTTTTTACTTCCCACCCCAGCTGCCAACTATCCCGCTCACACGTCTGTTCCCACCTTGCCTTCCATCTGCCCTGAGCCTCAACCTATTATATCAGTCTCTCTGTTTCTTTTGCCATCCTCCGCCCTGTTCCTCAGTTTACCCTTCTGTTCATTTAGCTTAGGCCGCCCCCATCTTAAGAACCCACCCCCTTCTCCCACTTGAAGTCCCCTTTAGCTGCCACCTGTTGTCTCCCCTTCCATGTTTTCAGACAAGGTCTTTAAAGATTGCCTCCTTCAATGTCTTAGCCTTTCTCTCTGTCCCCTTCATAATCACTGATTAGCCCTTAATGCAACTCTCTCCTCCTCAGCCTGCCTCTTAGGCCACACTGTCCTCATGGGCTCTCTCCTTAGCTCCCTTCTCCTCGCACTCCACTGATTCCCTGAGAACTTTCTACCATGGGTCACAGGTTCAAATCTAATGGCCTTTTGGATCTCCCACATGGGATGAAAGAGGCCCATACCCTGCCTTGCAGGATCCAAGGTCATCAAGAACGACAACCAGGAGCACTGAGCGGTCTGCAGAAACAAAACAGTAAACTTCCTTCGGGACTAGGGAGAGGAGCTTTCTCTGGTCCTTGCCCGGTGCCAACTTTGGGTCCCCACCCTCTCTCGTAATGACCAGCAGGATCGCTCCAGAAACCCCCCAAAACAAACTAACAAACAAACAAACAAACAAAAAACACCCTAGAATAGATAGAGAACAGCAAGGAAAGCTTAGAAACAAGAAACGGGCAGTGAGGATGCACTTATAACTCACTGGGTGGGACACAAAGATTAGTTACTCCTCACTAGGGCATTGAAGATTTCTCTGCACACCCCTCCTAAAACTGTTCACCTAAACTGTTGACATATGTCTTGTTAGAGATAGAGTTAGACTACCCGAAAAACAGCCAGGTTCTGCAAAATCATGCTTCAACGCTATAAACTGCTAAATATTAAAATTAAAATAAACATGAGACAGATGAACAATAATCTATAGCCATTTTAAGGTGTATAGAACCCAGTTGTATATAAACTAATACTTGTAATGTCAATGTAGAAGTCATAGGATGTGGTTCAGAACTTGCACTCTTTTTTTTTCTCTCTCTCTTTCTCTTTGAACATGCTGGTTACACAATACCATGTCAACTAATTCCATTACATTATAAATTGTTACTGATGTAATGTCGGGGCTTTTAATTGATTGGGATGATACTCTGTTGGCTCTACCTTCAGACCAGAGATGGTCTCCCCAAGAAACTGTTGAACTTATCTGGACAATAAGATGCTGGACTCTATGCTTTGTAGATGCTTGCAAGGAAAGAATCTCAACTGAATTTGACCTGTGGTAATGCAACAAGAATCCACCATGGGTGGGGGCGGGTTATGGGGAGGGGAGGGAGAAATCCCAGTGCCTATAAAACTGTGTCACATAAAGCAATGTAATCAATAAAAAAAAAAATCTAATAGCCTGAGGGCTGGTCTATGTGGAAGTCTCATGAGTGTGGGTTGGAGATAGGATTTAGCACCCGGCATACACACACCTGCTCCTCTATCAGGGAGCCAGCCCATCATGGCACATGCTATCACTGACTACGACGATACCAAACACAGAAAGTGGACCTCTGCTTTGGGGAGGCAGCCTCCCTTTCCATGTCCTACAGGGGACCAGCTGTGACCCTCTGTTCCCTCAGGGGACTCAGGAGCCTGCCCCTACAGTTCTCTTCCATGGAGACTCTTGAGTGGGGGACCATGATTTACTTTCTGCCATTACACTGTTAGGACTGCTCCTCTTGCCGCTGCCTGCCTCAAAGCTCTTCCAATCACTTCAGAAAGAACTCCACAATCCTTAGATTATTTTACAGAGCCCAAAGCCCCAAGCTACTAGGTCACAAGCAAATGCCACCATTAAAAAACAGAACACCTGATGCCATCAGAAACTGGGGCCACAAGCAGGTAAAGGTCTTTGTTTTTCCTGGGCACTCCCTTTCCCATGGTTACCTCTATTTTGGCAACTTCCCGGGAGATATCCTTTATCCAAAACTCTTGCTGGGACTTGATTTTCGTTATTAACTCCAGGAAGATTCGTCCTCTATAATCTAAGCCATCCTTAACAGAGTCGGGTACACACTAGTGCCAACAGAAAGGACAATAGAGAGAACCAGCTGAGGGTAAAAAAAAGCAAGCTACCCCAACCCCTCCCAATTCTGCCACCCCACTCCCAAGTCCTGCAGCCACGACGAGGTTGTGCCCTAAAACTGCTTGCCAAAGATCTCTTTCCGGAGAATTCCAGATACCTGAGTGTCAGGAAACCTCTGAGCTCTAATCCTGTCTTCTGCTTCTTCCGCACCCACTGCTCTCCTTGAGGCATTCTACCTTAAGCCAACTTGCAGGATCTGTTTCAAGTTGTCATGGGATCTGTGACAACCACAAAATTTGGGCTCCCAAACTGGCGAATCAGAGCATGCCCCGCCTCCTAGGCAAAAGTGATTGGCCAAGAGGAGCAAACATAACCTGAAGGAGCCAATTAAAACGCTTCCCGGGCTTTGAGGGGCTCAGGTACTCAGCCCAGAGACCCACAGCATGTGTGAGAGCAGGAGGACACAATGACGGGAGAAAAAACCAGGTAAGAAGCGGAATGAGACTCATCCTCACTCAGAATCTTTCCTTGCCTCTGTAAGCTTTCGTTTAACCCAATTAAATCTCTGGCGTTTATAACTGGTCTTAAATATCCTGGCCTATTCTACATTTTCCTGTGCTTTGCATGTCCTTTTCATCTGTTGCAGGTCTTACCTGGAGTCTCATTTCAATGTCCCTCCCTAAGCAACCACGTAAAGCACACCACCTATTCCTGTACTGTGTATATACGTGGCTGCTTATGCACAGAATTCCCATCCTCTACTGGGGTGCAGTGGGCAGAGCCCTGGCGGCTCCCCTCATCCCTTCCGGGAGACAGCCAGAGCCTGTGCTTAACACAGAGTGGGTTTTACCTCCACCATCATACCATCACCTAGAGCTGACATGAGAAGCTTACCCCTTCTTCCTGGTTCCTGAAGGCAGCCTTTTTCCCCCCATGAAGAATCAGGAAGCTGGGGCCAAAGCAGGGTAGGAAGCCAGAATACATTCCTAGAAGGAAAGGAGTAAGAGGGGTGGAGCAGAGGTGGGAAGAAGTGTGTATTTGGGGTGGGTAGGGGCAGGGCTTTGCTTGCCTTCTATCTCTTCCCCTGTGGAGGAGATCTGATTGAGGGGCAAGCTCGCAGTCCCAATCTCATCATGGCAATCATATCTGGAGCTGGAGAGAAGCACTCTGAGGCTGAGGCCCTCATTGTCACTTCCCCTCCCATCACTTCCGTCTGTGCCCAGGGGCTCACCAATCCAAGACTCTGAACTTGATGTAGCTGGAGAGACAGGGCAGCTGCAACGGGGAATGTGAGAGGAACAGTGAGAGCATACTGGGATGTCTGACCTCCATGGAGATTCTGAGTGGATGGGAAGGAAGTCTTGAGTCTGGACTTGAGGTCTGGACTCAGATACCGAAGAGTCATTTACTCACAGACAAACTGGATTTACCACCCAGCTCACTCCTGTGCTTCCCCCTAACTCCCTATGTACTTGGGTTCCTTGAAAGGTCTTGGGAAGGGTCTGGGACTTGTCATATGATTCTTTTGTATTCTTGTTCTTTTCTTTGTTCAAAATGATTATTTATCAGTTTATTTATGACAGAGAGAGAAAGAGAGAGAGGGCCCAGCGGCATGGCCTAGTGTCTAAAAGTCCTCGCCTTGAACACGCACTGGTATCCCATATGGGTGCCAGTTCTAATCCTGGCAGCTCCACTTCCCATCCAGCTCCCTGCTTGTGTCCTGGGAAAGCAGTTGAGAACGGCCCAGTGCTTTGGGATCCTGCACCCGTGTGGGACACCTGGAGGAAGTTCCTGGTTCCTGGCTTCGGATTGGCACAGAACCGGCTATTGTACTTACTTGGGGAGTGAATCATCAGACGGAATATATGCCTCTCTGTCTCTCCTCCTCCTTTCTGTATATCTGACTTTGTAATAAAAATTAAAAAGAGAGAGAGAGAGAGAGAGAGAGAGAGAGAGAGAGAGAACAGAGAGCTCCTCCATCCAATGGTTCACTCTTCAAATACCTGCAATGGCCAGGTCTGGGTCAGGCTGCCATCAAGTAGGTGGCGGGAACTCAAAACCTTGGACCATCATCCCCTACCTTCCCAGGATGTGCATTAGCAAGAAGTTGGGTCAGCATTAGCACAGTAGCTGAGATTCCATGTGGCAGGCTGAGAGGGGATGTGGATGTCCCAAGTGGTGGCTTAACCCTGTATTCTTGTTTCTTAAAATGGTCGCCTAGTTGCCTAAACTTCAGTACCTGGGAGGTCTGAGTGCACAGTAACTGTGGATTTAACCATGATTAACACTCTGGCACAGTCCTTCGCAAACCATCTCATGGTAAGGTCATGAGCCTAGATTGCCTACATCTTACCTGGTGGTCAACTCTTTAGGCAGAAGGACACTGGTCTCCTTGAGGGGTGAAGAACAATATTTCTAGCTGCCACTCAAGGTCAGTATCTGCTGTCCATCCATGCGAGGTGTGCAATCTTCCCACACCAGCAGATGAAACCTCCCAACACACCAGTGAGGTACTGTAGTTATTCTGATGAAAAAACTAAGGGCCAGGGAGGCCGAATTCCTGAGGTCCTCATGCAGGAGCTGAGGCTTCAGAGGAAGGGCAGCCATTGTGCCTTTATACAGATGCCGGGGTGGAGGTTGCACTGTGGCATGGTGGATTAAGCTGGTCCCATAGCAGAGTGCTTGCAGTTCAGTCCTGTCTCTGCTTCTAATCCAGCTTCCAGCTAATCTGCTTGTGAGGCAGCAGTTGGTGGGTCAGGTGCTTAGGTTTCTGCCACCCATGTTGGATACCCACGTGGAGTCCCTAGCCCCTGGCTCCTGGCTCCTGACTTCAGCCTAGTCCAGCCCTGGTTGTTGTTGCCATTTGGGGAGTGAACCAGTGAAAGGAAACATACTTTTCCTCTCTCTCCCCACACCTCTGTGCCCCATACCTTTTTCTCTGCTTTTCAAATAAAATGAAGATACACTCATAAAACTTTTTTAAAAGTTCTCTTTCCTTCTTCCAGTTGTCCATCTTGACTTTTGTGTGCCATCTCTCTTGCCCAAGGCCATTGGATTAGCCATTGACACGGGATCATTTGTGGCAACACAACGCCCCAGACTTTGCTGCCCCTACAGCTGATCGCTACCATTTGTGTGGTCACTTTGCCTCTCCAGAAAGAGTCTCCCATCTTTGCTATGTTTTCAAGGGGTTGGTACCCACAGGGCTTGCATCCAGACAGCCTCTGCCCTGGAGACTGTGTTATGAGGACACAGCTGAGGGTTCAGGGGCGCTGAAAGGTGCTGGAAGTCTTGCCCAAGGATGAGGGAAGGTCTGACCTATGTATGCCATTGGTGCTGAGCTTGAGATGATAAACAGGAGGACTTCCCAATGTTCTCTAGCCAGGGAAAATGGGATTGACAAAGGTGAGGAATGGATTAGACCTCCTTTCTGAAATCTGCTTCTACTTTAAGAGTTTGTAAAATCATTCAAGGAGGTGGGCATTGTGAGGAATGACTGAAAATGATGACTCTCCAGGGGGCATGCTGGGGAAAGAAGCAAGGAAAGGAGTTTGAAAGAGGAAGGTTTAAAAAACAATGCATAAGAAAGTCCAATACTTTGGGTAGCCAAATCAATATTACACAAAGTTCTATGCACTCAGAGTTCAAATTCTCTCACAGAGGTGTTTACTCTTATTTTGCTTGCAGCTCTCAGAAGTCTGGCATGGAGTCAAAAGGCCATTAAGGCTTCAAGAAAACCATCATGCAATGGCAGCTGATGGATGCATGAGGAGGACTGAAAGGCTACAAACAGTCCAACTATAGAACCCCATAAAGAGCATCTTGGAGTCATTTAGTGTAGGAAGAGCAAGCCCTGAACCACCTATGGCTCCATATAACTATGTTCCCATCAGAGCTTTAAGACATCAGCAAAGAGCTATAATTATATTTGGGCATTTTGCCTGGAAGGTAAGAAAATGTATAATAATTTTAGAATGAATTTTTGAAATGGTTTTTGTTGTTTCATTTAAAAGGTTTTTAAAAATTATTACATCACTTTTTGGCCTTTAGCCAAGATCATGTATAAAAAAATTATTACATTTTCATTGTTTTTGAAAGGCAGAGAGAGATTGAGAGTGGGGAGGGGGGAGGGAGGGAGCAAGGGAGAGAGAGAGAGAGAGAGAGAGAGAGAGAAAGTCTTTCATCTGCTGGCTCACTACTCAGATGCTTGCAATAGCCAGTTCTAGGTCAAGCTGATGCCAGGAGCCCAGCCAGAACTCAAGCTGGGTATCCCATGCAGGTATCATGGTCCCAAGTACTTGGGCCATCACTTGCTACCTCTCAAAATGTGCATTAGTAAGAGGTTAAAATCAGGAGTACACCAACACTCCACCCAGGTATGCTGATTTAGCATGTGGGAGTCCCAACTGGCAGCTCAACAGCTGTGCCAAATATCTGCCCTTCTTATTATTTAATCTGGATGAAAGCTTACATTAAAATTCTCTGGAAAGATCAGTTGTATAACCCACTCACTTCTGAACACTGGACAAATAAAGTCATACACACACACACATACTCTCTCTCTCTCTCTCTCTCTCTCTCTCTCTCTCTCTCTCTCTCCATTTGGGGATAAGGCAGATGTGATAAGTAGCCATACCTGAATCTGAAAGGTCAGAATCTGGTTCCATATTGGGTTATCAGTGTGGTTCTGTACTTGTGTCCGGAGCTGGAAACATCCCAAGTCAGTATCCGTGCCAGTATCAGTGCCAGCCTGTCCCTCCCTCCCACCAGTGGTCTCTCCTCACCCATCCCTTCCTGTCTGGCCCACAGATGAATACTGCCTACAGCACAGACAGGGCCCTATCTTGGTCTAAAGACACTTAAATTACCATCTACACCTGTAGTCCTTTCTTTACTTAAAATTTATTGTTTGAGTACATACACATGGATTCTGCTAGATCAGTTTTAAGATTCCAACAGAAAAATGGGCTGGACCACAGCTGATGGCAGCACCACACCTCTTTGCAAATCATCAGTTGACTTAATGTTTAAATCTTGCCTGCCTTATTCTTAGCAATGATATCTGAGAAATCAAGTGTTCCTTTTTAAGGTAAACACACAACTATCAGCACTTCTGGGGGAAAAATGGATTTCATTTACTAGCTAAGAATTTCTCACCCAGCCCCCAGAGTGCCTCCACCTTGCACTGGGAAATAAATACTCAGTGTGGTGGTGATCTTAAATATGTATATGAGTTCTTTTTCATTCAAAAGGTGTTAATTCTCTTTCCCTTATGTTTGGGCTGGATTTAATGACCTGCTTCTGACAGAATGTGACAGAAATGATGGCTTGTGAACTGAGAAAAATCTGTTTAGCTTTAACTAGATACCCATTTCTACCCCAATTTTAACACCATGCCCTGGCCTGCACAAGACACCCATAAGCCCCCCTTAGGGAAATGCTACTCCATTTCCCCAAAGGTTCATGGAATGTCAGCGACTCTCTTGCCTGGGACTGTCACTTGACAGGTGAAGAAACTGAGGCCCAGGGGACATGGTGACCCTGTCAGTGCTATTCATTCATTATCGTTCTGCCTCATTCACTCATTCATTCCACCTCCATGCAGTCTCATCTTTGGTTCTTAATGGGCATCTCCTCCATGCAAGGCTCTCGACACCTTTGGCATGCAAAGTTTAACTAAGATATAGCCTTGTCCACAGAGTTCCAGGGCAGTGGTGCCACACTGCCTTTCAGAGCAGGCTGAGGTACGATTCTGGGGGTCCTGCCCACCAGCCCACTCTCCACCTCCACATGTCTTTTACTGGGTGCTAATTTCTCTAGATCTCAGACCCTAGCTGTACTTACCTTCTCCCCAATTATTTCCACTTCCAACACAGGACTCATTAAATGGTGTTTCTCTATGAACAGAAGTTATAAGACTTCAGTATTTTTTTTTTTTTAGAAGGAAAGGGAGAAGTGACAGAGTGACTTAAAAACCTCCCTGATCATTTAGTTTGGTACCCTCTGGGCAGATGTGTTTTTGGGTACACCCTGACGCTTCTGCATTTTCATTCACATAATGAGTAGGAGATTGGGGGCCACATAGGGAAGCTTGAATCTAGAATTGGCATCCAAGGCAGGTCAGCGACATTGGCACCCGGGGGTCAAGTTGTCCATTGAACCTTTGAGAAACAATTCTTGGTGGAGTTCAGTCTCATCCTGTCCACCCTCCCCAAGTCTTTAGTGTTCAACATACTGAGGAAGTTCCCTGAGGATCAGGGGAACCAAGGGGCTACTCCCTCCCTTGCCACCCTGACTGTAACTGAGTTGCAGGTCCTCCGCGCAGTAGATAAAGAACTGTAAGTAGGCTGCGTAGATGGGGACTCCTGTTGACTTGATGATTTGAATATCCTTTTCAGTCCCATACGTCAGCTTTTGATCTACCTGGGGAGACCAGAGTTGGACAGGGTCAGGGTCATGGGGAAGTTACAATCAAGGCCCTTAGTCTTTGCTTCCCCAACTCCCATGTGGTACAGGGGGAGGGGAAAAGTAGAAGTAGAGAAAAGTCTACTGTGGGACTCCAGAGGTGTCCCAAAGAAGCAGCCACAGTAGGACATAGTGGGGTGTGGGGGTAGCCTCACCAGAGCCTGGTCTCCCACACCCAGCACGCAGATGGTGACTTTCAGGTAGCCTCTCACGCCACTGATGGGTTTATTCGGCAGGCACAGGCCTAGCCATTTCCTTAGGAGTGTGTGACCTGGACAAGTAGAGGGACAGTGGAAGTCCCAACCCCAGTCTCCCTCTCCCTCTTCCCTGGAACCAGGCTTTGTTTCTTGGGGAGAAGGGAGAGGAAGCATATCTAGCATATCTTGTTCTCACCTTCATCCTCCCTGGTGACAGGGGAAATAGGAGTCTCTGCTACCATTAAGCAGTGACAGTGTGCTCACAAGTCTGCCAACTACAACCTCTAAAAAAGAGGGATCCCAGTTTTCAAACTGGATGCCTACTCTTATTCCTATCTGGAACCAAGATTTTTCCCAATCTGAAATCCAGATCTCAACCAGTTAGGTATGTTACTGCCATAGTAGAAACTTCTACACAAACGTCTGCCTCCCCATAGCAATCTCAAAAGAGAGAAAACCAGGAGAGAGTGTTGTGGTACAGCGAGTTTAAGCTGTGACTCAAAACTCCAGCATCTCATATTGGAATATCTGGTTCAAGTCCCAACTACTCCACCTTTCTTATCCAGCTTGTTACATGGGAAGCAGTGGATGATGGCCCAAGGAGGACTTCAGCTTCCATACAGCTATGTGGGAAACCTGGATGGTGTTCCTAGCTCTGGGCTTCAGCTTGGCTCAGTCCTGACTGTTGTAGGATTTTGGAGAATGAGCCAGTGAAAAATATCTCTCTTGAGCACTGGTTTGAATCCCAGCTACTCCACTTCTGATTCAGCTCCCTGCTAGTCTGCATGGGAAAGCAGCAGAAGATGGTCCCTAGGCTCAGGCTCCTGTACCCATATGGAAGACCTGGATGGGGCTTCAGGCCCTTGACTTTAGATAGGGCAGTCCCAAACATTGCAACCATTTGGGGAATGAACCAGTGGATGGAAGATCTCTCTCTGCCTCTCCCTCTCTCTCTGTACTTTGCCTTTCAAATAAATCAATACATTTTTTTTTTTAAAAAGGGGAGGATGTAAGGAGGAAAGGATAAAGAAATATAAACCAAGGCTTCAATAAAAAGTTAGCATCCTTCAGAGAAAGATGCAGTTATTAGAATATGATACCATTAAGTACAGTAAATTAGTTATCTTGTACAGAAAATAATTCACACCTGATACTTCCAAGCCCATATGTTGAGAATTTTGAGCTATGATAGTCCCTGACTAGGCTATTTTCAGAAGTCCCTCATATTCACAGCAACTGTTACTTACCTGGACAATGGTAAATAAACCCAATATCTGTCTGAAAATACAAGAATGGGATGAGGATTAGCTAGGATTGCCAGTTGACATTGTAAGACCAGTTTACCCATTGGCAATAATGGCTATTGGTGCTTGAATTTGTTCTATGACCTAACCCCTTTGGTTTTTACAAGCTAGAATGTATATCCACAAACACCATCACTCTATAGAAGACACTGAGTTTGGAGAAGTGTGCTGTGTTTTATAATTGCTGAGTGAAAAGATTCTTCATGTTATGCAGTGCTACCCAGCCTTGACCCTTCCCTACTTCTGGGTGGGTAAGGGTGTCCTTCATGCTTGTGGAAGAGGGTAGACAAGGTGGAGTTGGCAAAGAGAAATTTCCCTTTTCCCCTGGAATATGATTTCTGACAGAAACCTAGGGAATGTGATACAGGAGTCAAGACACTATCTGAAGGCCTGGCACAGTAGCCTCACAGCTAAAGTCCTCACCTTGCACATGCTGGAATCCCATATGGTTGCCGGTTCTAATCCCAGCAGCTCCATTTCCTATCCAGCTCCCTGCTTATGACCTGGGAAAGCAGTCGAGGATGGCCCAAAGCCTTGGGACCCTGAACCCCTGTAGGAGACCTGAAAGACGTTCCAGGCTCCTGGTTTTGGATTGGCGCAGCTCCAGATGTGCGCCACTTGGAGAGTAAATGGAAGATCTTCCTCTCTGTCTCTCTCTCTCTCCCTCTCTATATATCTGACTTTCCAATAAAAATAAATCTTAAAAAAAAGATACTATGTGCAGACCCAGGGCCACAAAGCAGTCTGGACTCCCATGTAAGGCACGTCTGAAATTTCCATAGATTGACCCCATATCCTGCATGTGGGCCTGCTATGAAACACAGTGGCCCCTTGAGTTATAGAAGCCTTCTTAGAACAACAGTTTTTAAGAGAAAAAAACTGATAAACTGGACTTGGTCAAATTCAAAATTTCTGCTCTTTTAAATATGCTACTGAAGTCAGGATTATAGCACAGTAATTTTAACCACCAATTGTGATGCCAGCTTCCCAGACTGAGCACCCATTCCAGTCCTGGCTGTTCCACATCCAATCCAGCTTCCCATTTCTGTGCCTGGGAAGGCAGCAGAAGCTGGCACAAGTATTTGGGACCCTGCTGCTCCTGTGGGGAACCAGGATGGAGCCCCTGGCTCCTGGCTTTAGCTTGACCCAGACCTATACTAGCCATTTGGGGAGTGAGCTAGCAGATGAAAGAGTTTCTATCTGTTTTTCAAATAAGTTTTTAAAATAATTTAAAAATAGGGCTTGGCGTGATAGTATAGTGGTTAAAGTCCTCGCCTTGAATGTGTTGAAATCCCATATGGGCTCCGGTTCTAATCCTGGTGGCCCTGATTGCCATTCAGCTCCCTGCCTGTGGCCTGGGAAAGCAATTGAGGATGGTCCAAAGCTTTGGAACCCTGCACTCATGTGGGAGACCTGGAAGAAGCTCCTGGTTCCTGGCTTCAGATTGGCTCAGCTCTGGCCATTGCAGCCACTTGGGGAGTGAACCATCGGATGGAAGATCTTCCTCTCTGCTTCCTCTCCTCGCCATATATCTGCCTTTCCAATAAAAATGAATCTTAAAAAAATTAAAAATAATAAACAAAACAGAGAGGACTAATTTTATCAGAAAGACCTAAAATGCATATTTAACCAACAGTAATGAATGGTCCTAATTTGTTTCCTGATTTGGAAAACATGTAAAAGAGATTTGTAGCATGGTTGGAGGCATGTGAGACTAAATATGTAATGCTATGTATAAATTATAAATGTTTTCAGATGTGATCACTGTGTTGTGGTTTAGAACCACATGCCTAATAAAATTTTCTTTCTAGAGATACATGCTGAAATGATTTTAAAAGGATGTGATGGTGCTCACTTTGGCAGCAGTGTGCTAAGACTGGAATAATACAAAGGTTTGCATGCCCCTTTGCAAAGATGTATGCAAATTTGTAAAGTCTTCTATATTTAAAAAATGCATACCATGGAAATTGGTTGATTATGCAAGATGCAGGTTAAAATATCCATACCCTGGATCCAGCGCAGTAGCTCGGTGGCTAAAGTCCTCGCCTTGCACATGCCAGGATCCAATATGGGCGCTGGTTCTAATCCCAGCAGCCCCACTTCCCAGCCAGCTAGCTCCCTGCTTGTGGCCTGGGAAAGCAGTCAAGGATGACCCAAGGCCTTGGGACCCCGCACCATGTGGAAGGCCAAGAAGAGCTCCTGGTTCCTGGCTTCAGATCGGCTCAGCTCTGGCTGTTGTGGCCACTTGGAAAGTGAGTCACTGGATGGAAGATCTTCCTCTCTGTCTCTCCTCCTCTCTATATATTTGACTTCCCAATAAAAATAAATAAATCTTAAAAATAAAAAAGGCATACATATTGTATGGTGAAGTGCCAGGATATACAGCTCTGGCTCACTGCTAGCAGTGCAGACCCCGGGTGATGACAGAAGCGGGTGGGTCTCTGTCACCTACATGGACGACCTGGACTGAGTTCCTGGCACCTGGCTCTATCACTAGCTCTTTCGGGTATCTGAGAAGTGAAGCAGTAAAGAGGAGCTCACTGTGAGACTGTCTATTTATCTCTCTGTCTCTTCAATGAGTTACCTGTTTGGTTTTTTTAACCTACTGATATCAAAATTATCTAGAATCTCAATGTCTTAAGCCTGAAGTACTGGGGGAAAGACAGGTCAACTTTCCATGTGATTATTCTAAGCAGTGGGAGAGAAATTTACTTCCGTTTATCTTAAATTTGCCTTTCCTTAGAGTGCCCTTTTTCACTGCTTGCAGATTTAGCCAATAAAAATGCAGAATGCCCACTGTAGTTCGAATTTCAGATAAACAATGACAATTTTTTTTAGTATACACATGTACCCTACAATGGTGAGCAGCCATGCAATTCTTGCAACATATTTACAATTATTATTAGCATTATCGGAGGCCATCATCTTGGACTGAGTCCCTGCCCGAGACCCCAGCATATCAGACTGAAAATCGAAGTGGAGTTCCAGTGCTAAGGTTTCACATCACAAAACTGAAATGAAATAGTAATGTGATATTTCAAGAAACCAGGAAGAGGAGAACCCAGTTTCCCAAACATATTGGTGTGTGACAATGAAGATCCTTTACTTTGATCCTCATCCTTTGGTCATTACAAAAGTAAGCTAGAGTGATCTGATGTTAATCAACCAGGTCCCTTTCTGTGATCTGCCTCCCTGTCTCTGCTGTACAAGTAATTTAGAAATGACCAATCTACTTTCTCAGTCTTGCTTCAATTACAAAATCAAATGATGTTTATCCTATCATCACACTTATTCTGTTTGTTCTGTTTTATGGAAAGAAGTGTTACCTGATTCTAGAATTACAAAATAAAGCCCAAAACCAGATCTTTATATTGTTGATTTTTTTCCCTTTTATAGATCTAAAAAGTATTATCTAAGATTCAGATATAACCAGGCATCCTGTGTTTAATCTAACAAGCTACCTTTCCTGATTTTCCTGGACTTGGAAAATATTAATGACTGTCATGACTGTGTAAACTCTACCTGTCTGTTAGCCTGTGGCTTTTCACTTGGTCATCAGAGGCACCCACTTTTCTCTGGCTTTCTTAGACATTTAAGTTGGCCTTTTGAATCTTCAGTTCTCATCCTGAAGATGGAGATCTAAACCCTGTCCACCAGATCATGAGTGTGGAGAATTCAACACAGCATCTAACACCTTCTTAAATGTTACATATTTACAATGACTCTGCCAGGTGGAGAGATACCCATTTTACAAATGAAGAATTTGCCTAAGTCACCCAGTTGGTAGGTGGATCTAAATCTGGATGTTTCCACATGAAAATCTGAAACTTTTCCCTAGACTCAGGCATGGAGCTATTCCATCAAGCCACCTGATACAGTGCTTACCTGGAACCTCCCAATCTCTGCATTGTATCTTATCACTGAAGAGTTCAACACCTGTAAGGGAGTTTGCAGAAAGATCTTTGTTGAATGAATGAAAGAGGAATCTGGCCTGATAGTGGGGAGAAGAAATGGTGGTGATGCTGCCTTGGGATCAGAAAGACAATATAAAGGGACCCTGGCTCTAAGGAAGTAAGCTGAGGGCTGAAATGCTTCCCAGTATTGAGGTGAGACAAGAAAATGGATCTATCGTGCAGGGTCCCTCACCTGGATTGAGATCATCTCATCAAAGAACTTTGAAGGAACCTCATAGAAATTCTGGAAGAAGATCTGAGGAAGAGAGAATTGGGGGAAGGTTGGAAGACGCTTTTCCTACCGCCCAACCCATGGACTCCAGTCAAGACATATTCCTGCCTGTCTACAGGGATACTCAACTTCTGGCAAGTGCATTTGTCCAATGTGCCCTGTTCAGCCCACCTCATTGAAGAAAGGGTTGTTTCCCATCTTGATCCGTGTGTTGTGCTGCTGACTTCCAATGATCACTTTCACCACAGGATTGATGTTGTTGCCCATGAGCTGTCGGGCTTCATACACCTTCACTCGAACCTACAGGAAGATCACAGTAGAGGACTGACCTTGGGCTCTCTTTCTCCAATTGGAATTCTCCTCTCATGAAAAAAAAAAAAAAAGTTTGGCTAAGAACCATTGTAGTTATCGTAAAGAGAGAATTCCCAGGAACAAGGATGGGAGGAGCTGGGTTCAGAGAGGGAAGCTTGATTCATCATTGTAAGGATCTGGGTTCGGGAGTGAGACAGTGTTTGGTACAATAGTTAAGGATGCCCATTTGGGACACCTACATCCCATATCTGAGTCTCTGAGCTTGAGTTCTAGCTCTGCTTTGTGTTCTAGCCTCTTGATAATACCCAAACTGGGAGATATCAAGTGAAGGCTCAAACATTTGAGTTCTTGCCACCCATGTGGGAGACCTGGATAGATTTCTACACTCTTGACTTCAGCCTAACCCTACCTCTGAGGAAATCAGTTAGCAGATGTAAAATTTCTGTCTGCCTGCCTGTCTCGTTCTGCCTTTCAAATAAAATAAATTTTAGAAAAAAATATAAGGAGCTGGATTTTGTGCTGAGGATGCTGGGGATTTATAAGCAGTTACAGGTCTCCATGAGAGCAACATCTCTGAAAGACCACCTTGATTAAAGAATTGGCAGGAGAGGGCTACTGGCATGGAGTTCAGGAGAGGTGATCCTGGGAAGCAAAAGTGGTGGCTCAGGCCAGGGAATGGAAGTGACAATGGAAAACTGGGAGCAATTGGATGACACAAAAAGCTGGGACTTGCCATGTACTGAATAGAAGAAGAGGGACATTCAGGGACAATTCGTACCCTCCTGGGTGTATAACAAGCTAGGGAGCATTAAAAACATGGTAGAAATGCCAGGCCTGAAGATCAGAGGGAAGCTGGTAAGGTGTAAGATGGGGCTGTCTGAATTCACATAGAAGTTGTGTAGTGGGGATCTGGAATCTAAAGCTCTGGTTTACCATGATTGTATGGAGTGCAGGGGATGTTCTGGGAATACATGGAGCTGTCAGGCAGGTTGCTAGACTTTCACGCTAGAGAGTCCTCACCTGAAAGTGCTGAGGCTTTGAGCACTGAACTCTGTGCGTGATAGGACTGGGAGCCATCAGCTTCTGTCTGGCCACTTCTCTTGCAGTTATGCCCAGGAGGTCCTCATCCCCTAAAGAAACACAATCTAGAGTGGGCCCAGAAGCTAGGGCTCAGGAAGCTTTGAGGTATTCTGTTCCCAGTGAGCAGCTCCTAACCAAAAACTGTGACCAAGAAGCTCCAATAAGGGTGCCCTTCCCAGAACACTGCCATCAGTCCCTCCCATGCTCATTAACTCAATCGCTAGACCCATAGAGGCTCTTGAAAACAGCCATCCCTATCTCTGCTGTAGACCATTGGAGGCTGGGCCTTATGTCTAGAGAGAACAAGTGCTGGGGTGACAGATGGCTTTAGATAGACATCTCGAGATCTGATTTCTAGATCCCTGTAGCTTCCAGGTACTCTGACCTGCTTAAACCCAAGGGTGGAGTCTTGCAGGGCCCAAAGAACCCATTCAGCTATGCCTGGGAAAAGGCAGGAGTAAACCCCAGAAATGACATACATGTCTTCTCAATATACTGGCTGGTCATCTGGGCCACCTGTAGGGTGACAGTACACTGCAAGACAAAGGTAAGGAAACAGTAAACCAGATGCTATGAACGGACCAAGTCACAGCGCCCAAGTGGTGCCCAGATTGTGTGGGTGCTCCTGGATAGGTGATACTGGCCATGGTATAGGGGCCAGACATACCATGAGTGAATGTAAAGTCTGAGAGGAAAGTTATAAAGTGGTGAGCAGAGTGCCATGGGTGCATTGAAAAGGTTTTTGTAAAATAAAGAAGCCACACTGCAGAGGTAAAGGCAGAAGAGGGATTCAATGAGGAAAGAAAAGGAATGACTTGGGTCTAGTCCAGAACCACAGGAGCTAACAGCTCTTTCCCTGGCCCAGCATCTCCTAACTTCATGTGAGACCTCCAGCAAACTCCTGTTAACGGACCACCTGCATCCAAGCAATTCTGTCCCTCTTCCTGTCTTCAAACCATTCTCAGGATTGTCCTCAGATATTCCCTAAGTGCCTGAAACCATCCAAAGTCATAACTCATGAGCACAGACCACAAGCCCCAGGCAGCCCACCCAGCATCAACTCTTTATCCATGTGCCAGCAGTGCAAGCACCCACCCTTCTTGAAATTGGCCATGTTCTCTACGCCTTTTATGTTCTTATCTGGGTTTGTCTTCCTTTCCCATGTACTTCCTGAAGATTCATCCAAGTATGGGATATATGAATGGACAATGAGCAGATCATATAGGGAAATATAAAGAACATGGTCCCACAAGCTATAGCAAATAGGCCAGGATTCCAGTGCATTATCCACAGTGTCCATCCCAGGAAACAAGTCTGCTCCCTGTCAGACTCTAAGAAAGCCAACTGCTGTCTCTAGCAACCATCAGGAAGCCAAAAATAATGATCAGTCCCAAATGGTCAGGATTTGATTAATAACACACAGCTGTTCTCATTTTTATCCTAACTTCTAACATAGAACCAACCGGTAAAAGCCAAATGTCTTCCCCTTATTAATCACATGGGATGGTGGGCTTCTAGTTAATCTACTTTTGCTTCCCCAGACCAAAAACTTTCATTACCTCCCACGTGGAACTAGCTATTGCCTCCAGACCTCAGAGGATTAATCCTACTGTGAATTACACAGAATGTTGGGGGCATGTGTCCCCAGGAGTAGGGCCCTCTGAAACACTCTGTGGGCTCCATTGCTTTCTGTATCCCAATGCTAAGAAAAATTACTGACTCTCAGTGGCATGTTAATTAGTCCAACTAACTAGGAGGGTGGGCCAATGAATGGGGGAGTCGGGAGACAATTGCTATGTGATGGGAATCTCCCAGGACCAGTGTAGAAAGTGCTCTTGTGGAATGGAGTACTGGGCCTGCCCCCCTGGAGTGAGAGACTCAGCTTGTTCTTTCAGCTGCCCTGTGTGGGCCTGACTCACATTTGTGGGCTTCATGGAATGGTTGAGCAGGGTCAGGTCCTTCACGTAAAGGACCTCTGTTCGCTGTTTCACCAGAGGATCCAGTATGACTGTGGCCAGGCCAATGAACCTGGGGAGACAAGAAGCAGGTATGAGATCTTGAGCCAAGCAGAAAAGGGTGTCCTCCCTGTCTTGGGAATAGCTTTAGCTAGAGAGTCTGTGTCATCAAACAGAAACTAAAGAAGAACACAGCGAAGTAGTAAGCATCCATCAAAGTTACGGGGCTCTCAACTCTGTGGGAATTGGTTTGAGGCTTGCAGGAGGGTAGATACCAACTCACTGGATCAAGGGAGGGACACCTGATGGATATTGGCCTATCTGATTCTCTGTTCTGGGAATTTTGATCTAGAATGCCTCAGCTTCAGACCCAGTGACATGTTAGTCTCAGTCAGGGGCTAGGATGGGGCCACAATGGGAAGACAATAGCTGAGCAGAGGGAGCAGAGAACTCTTGAGTTTTCCATTTCTTAGACCTGGCTGATTTCATACTCCTACCCTAATTTACAGTCTTTTTTTTTTTTTTAAGCTAGCTGGAGTAGGTCCTGGTCAATGTATCTGAATGAGTTATAGATTAGAATCAAGAGACACATCCACCCTCACTGCCTTGGTCAGAGAGTTAGCATCCTCCTGTCTGGTTGACTCACCTTTCTTTCTTCTTTGAGCCCATGTCCAGAAGGATAATTTGCAAGAAGGAGTCATTTTCCAAGGGCCGGTTCCGGAGGTGCCAAATGAGGGTCTATGGGAGACACAAAATGGTTAATATGCTTCCTCTGCCCTCCCTGTGTTTCCTAGAGAGTGATAAAAAGGCAGAGGCATTATATTTCTCTACAATTGAAGACTCTTCCTTGTATTTAATTTCCTAAAGAGATGGCATGGAGTTCTTTGCCTGTGTTTCCAAGGCTTCTACTGCAATATCTAAGTGTGCTAAGGATGATGCAGCAGGCAAGGGTAGGGTGGCGCATGAACAGAAGGAATATAAGAGAGACACCTGCAAGGGGATCCCCTTGCCTCTGTTTTGGGCTTCTAGGAATACTGGGATGATCCAGTCAGGACTAGCTGATGAGTCATGCCTTGGTTCATCCCCAAAGTGGAAGAGAAGAGCCAAGGACAACTGTGGGCAGGTCCATGGCATTGACAGCCTCGTCAGACCAGAAACTGCTCCTTCTGGGCCAAGATACCTCAATCTTGAGGAAAGTTTGGGGCTCCCCAGACCACAAAATCCCTGCCTGGACTCCACTCTTGTCCATTTGCTACTAAAGTAACTGTTTCTCCCTGAAGTTTACCTCATTCCATATGGGCTCGTTACCTTCCACCACACGAGTTTTCTTCTTGGTATCTGCAAAAACACAGAGGAGCTGGCAGTGGCAGGAGGAAACATTTCAACGTGTGGGTTTGAATGGGATAGAGAGGCAAGCCATAACCTACAAAGCTTCAGGTATAGGCATTGATGTTTCTTTTACTGGGGGTTTCAAAACTTTCACTTCTCATCACCTGGGTGACACAGAATGTGATGTGTTCACTTCATTTTCTTCCTGTTTATGTAATTCTCAGAAACTTGCAGCCACATGGAGCCATGTGAGGCACTTTAGCAGAGAGAATGTGGGAGCCCTTGCCAGGCAAATACTACTAAAATCCCTATAAAAGTCTTTATTTCCCTTCTCTCCTCTCCCCATAGCCACCCTCATGTTCTGCAGAGGGGTGTCAGGGTGACTTCACATTCACAAGGGACAAGCAGCTACAGAGAGCCACACAGGACAGCTGCCTGCACAGCACTAACATAGCTGCAAAAAACCAACTAAGCTTTGGAAGAACTGGACTGTGCCTACTTCATCACTGTGGCACACAGAATGTCTTTTACACAGCAGGATGCCCATCAGTCTATTCACTGATTACAAGCTGCCTCTTAGAGTACCTGCTTCCCATCTAGCATCCTGGATCTCACCTCGGAAGGCTATCGTCATGCAGGGTCTGGGTGGAGGGGTTAAGGGAGGCTCAATTTTGGCTGACTCCACAATAAGCCGCAGCATCTCTAAGACGCTTCCTCTTCTCCTTTCCTCTGCAGTGCTACAGCTTCCTTCTTGAGGCTTCTTGGTCCAAGGCTTCTCAGGACTCAGGGAGTGAGTGGAACTTAGCAACGGGGGGATGTCACAAACAGGGATGGTTCTTGGTTCTAAAGAGGAATCAGTGGGACTGAAAGGAGGAAGAAATATGCAGTACTTATGAAGTGAGTGACTTGAGGTCACTGGGTGTGGACAAACCAAGCAATTTGGCTGCTATGGTATTTCCTCTTTTTTCTGTTATTTTCGCTGATCTTTTGGGTTCAAGATCGGGCATAATGGTAATGTTTTCTCTTAACAGAAGCAAGTTGTCTGGAGTCAATCATTGCCAAAGTCACACACTGAGATGGAAAAACAAGAGGCATGAGGCCATTTAAGAAAAAGTACAAGGAAATCAGGAATATTTGAATAACATTTTGGGGAAGTCCTTCTAAAGGAGGAAATAAAACATTGAGTCCATCTTTCTAAAGGAAACCTAAGTTTAGGTCTGACACACTCTTTAATAATGAGAAATCAGCTTTTAAGTGAATGAGCACTTGGGGAGGACATTTGGCTTAGTAGTTAAGCGATGGGTCAGGATACTGACATCCCATATGACAGTGCCTGGGTTTGAGTCCTGGTTCCACTCTTGATTCCAGCTTCCTGCCAATGTGCATCCTGGGCAAAGCAAGTAATAGATCAAGTAGGTGGGTACCTGCCACCCACATGGGAAGACCTAGATTGAGTTATTGGTTCTTAACAGGTCCAACCCTATCCATTCAGGCATTGGGAAGTGAATTAGCATGTGGAAGTTCACTCTGTCTCAGAAAAAAAAAAAAGGAAGGAAGGAAGGAAGAAAAAAAGAAAAAAGAAAGAAATGGAAGTAGGACTCTTATACTGAGTTTAACATAAAGAAAACATCTCAAAGCCAATCTAGTTTTGCTGAGGCTGTCTTTATTGTTTTGGTAGCCACGGCACGTGCATATAGACATGGAGCAAATAATTTGCACCTGTTATTTGCATTAGGCCCAGTACATCTTATATCATGTCCAGTTTTTTTTTTTTTACTTCTATTTATTATTATCATTTTATGATACAGTTCCATAGGCCCTGGAATTTTCCTTATCCCCTCCCCAATTCCTTCCCCCCCTCACTGAGTTCCCCTATTTCATTACTATAGTATAGTTCTTCTTACACAGTCATATGTCCATCATGGCAGGCATGGGCAATGGCAGAGAGTCCAGCATCCTATTGTCAAGATATAGTTAACAGTTTCATTGGGATTCCATCTTTGGTCTGGAAGTAGAGATGCATACTGCATTGTATCTTCACATCTGGATATGATGGTCTCTATTACACAGTTACTATACATCCCCTTAAATGAAAAGCTACAAAACAAAATCAACAGGAAAAAAAAAATAACAACACCATGAAGTTAAATAACATGCTACTGAAAGACTAATGTGATGCTGAAGAAATGAAAAAGAACCTTCTTGAAAAAAATGATACTACTGTATGATCTATGAGTCACTGAAGAATTTGATCAGAAGAAAGTGTTTTGAAGACATGAAACTAACAAAAAAAAAAAAAGAAAATCCGTGAGATACAGTTTCCACTGATCTTTGTTGATGAAATGTGTCTCCTGTAGGCAACAAATAGATGGGTTTTGTTTTTTAATCCAGTCTACTAATCTATGACGTTTGATTGATGAGTTTAAGCCATTTACATTCAGGGTTAATACACATAGGTGGTAATTTGGTCCTGTCATTTCAGCAATAGATGTTCATTGCTTTAATCTTCTGTTGTTATTTTAATGGGATGTTCTTCGCATTTGCCTTTGGTTTTGGTGAGCACTATTCCTTTTCTCTGTCAAGAGAGCCTCTTTATCACTACTCGGCCTTTTGGCTATGATCAAGTGAAGAGAGCATCTTTACATACCATTTGTAGGGCAGGTTTGGAAAAGGCATATTCTTTTTTTTTTTTTTTAAGATTTATTTTATTTTTATTGCAAAGTCAGGTATACAGAGAGGAAGAGAGACAGAGAGGAAGATCTTACGTCCGATGATTCACTCCCCAAGTGGCCACAATGGCCTGTGCTGAGCTGATCCAAAGCCAGGAACCCAGATCCTCTTCTGGGTATCCCACACGGGTGCAGGGTCCCAAGGCTTTGGGCCATCCTTGACTGCTTTCCTAGGTAACAAGCAAGGAGCTGGATGGGAAATGGGGCTGCCGGGATTAGAACCGGTGCCCATATGGGATCCCGGAGTGTTCAAGGTGAGGACTTTAACTGCTAGGCCACCATGCTGAGCTCGAGGCATATTCTTTTAAATTTTCTTTCGTTTTTTTTTTTATTAATTTTTTTTAAAGATTTATTTTTATTATTTTTTATTGGAAAGGCGGATATACAGAGAGGAGAGACAGAGAGGAAGATCTTACATCCGATGATTCACTCCCCAAGTGAGCGCAACGGGCCGATACTATGCCGATCCGAAGCCAGGAGCCTCTTCCGGGTCTCCCACGCGGGTGCAGGGTCCCAAAGCTTTGGGCCGTCCTTGACTGCTTTCCCAGGCCACAGGCAGGGAGCTGGAAGGGAAGCGGGGCCACCGGGATTAGAACCGGCGCCCATATGGGATCCTGGGCGCGCAAGGTGAGGACCTTTAACCACTTGCGCCACCGCGCCGGGCCCCGTTTTTTTTTTTAAAAGATTTATTTATTTTTGATTACAACGTTAGATATACAGAGAGGAGGAGAGACAGAGAGGAAGATCTTTCGTCCGATGATTCACTCCCCAAGTGACCACAATGGCCGGTGCTGTGCCAATTCGGAGACAGGAGTCAGGAACTTCTTCCAGGTCTTCCACATGGGTGCAGGTTCCCAAAGCTTTGGGTCATCCTCAACTGCTTTCCCAGGCCACAAGCAGGGAGCTGGATGGGAAGTGGAGCTGCTGGGATTAGAACCGGCACCCATATGGGATCCTGGCATGTTCAAGGCTAGGACTTTAGCTGCTAGGCCACTGCGCCAGGCTGAAATTTTCTTTGATGTGGAAGAATTTTATTTCATTTTCAAAGACAAAGGAAAGTTTTGCTGGGTATGTTATCCTGGGCCGACAATTTTTTGCTTTTAGAATCTGGAATATGTTGCTCCATTCTCTTCTTGCCTGTAGGTCTTCCTGTGAAAGGTCTCCTGTGAGTTTAATTGGCATTTCTTTATATGACAGTTGATTTTTTTTTTTTTTAAAGATTTATTTTTTATTATTTTTTAATGGAAAGGCGGATATACAGAGAGGAGATACAGAGAGGAAGATCTTCCATCCGATGATTCACTCCCCAAGTGAGCCGCAACGGGTCGATACTATGCCGATCCGAAGCCAGGAGCCTCTTCCGGGTCTCCCACACGGGTGCAGGGTCCCAAAGCTTTGGGCCGTCCTCAACTGCCTTCCCAGGCCACAGGCAGGGAGCTGGAAGGGAAGTGGGGCTGCCAGGATTAGAACCGGCGCCCATATGGGATCCCGGGCGTGCAAGGCGAGGACTTAACCACTTGCGCCACCGCGCCGGGCCCTACAGTTGATTTTTTTAACATGCACATTTCAGGATCTTTTCCTTATGTTCGATTGAAGAGAGTTTGATTATCATGTGTTGTGGTGAAGATCGCTATTGGTCGATCCTGTTGGGAGTTCTGTGCCCTTCCTGCACGTTGTTTCCCAATTCTTTCTCCAGATTGGGGAAATTTTGCCTTATTATTTCATTAAATACACCTTTAATCCCAGTTTCTCTTTCTGCACCTTCTGGGACTCCCATACTCTTATATTTGGCTTTTTACTAGTGTCTTTCAATTCTTGAATACTTTTTTTGGCCTGATCCACCTTTGCTTCCAGCTTTTTGTTTTTTTCCCCTGGTGACAGGAAATATCCTCTAATTTTGAGATTCTTTCTTCTGCCTCCTTCATTCTATTTTGGAGACTCTCCACTGTACTTTTATTTTGCATCACTGTATTCTTCATTTCCGATATATCAGCTTTCATTTGATTTCATTTCCAGTGTGACATATTCCTTGAATTCGTTGAATGACTGCTTTATGTGCTTCTCGTTGTTGATAAAAAGCTTTGTAGCAAAAGTTTTGAATTCTGTATCCCCAGTTTCTAGATATTCCTCAGTTAACTCTGAGGTTGGAAAGGCTTTTTCTCCTTTGCAAGGGTCTTCAGTAATATCCATTGTGCCTCTGTCTCTTCTTTTACTCTGGGTCATTGTAACTTTGGTTATCAGATTCTTCTCCTTGGGGCAGGTTTCTAAGCTCTGTCACCCACAGGTCTAAAGTGTGATTCTACTTACTGCAGTTGGCACATGGCTGTTTGTAGTCAGTTGTACCACTCCCTCCACCATATTCCAAGTCTCGCTTCTTATATTAGATTTCCATCATGGTCTCCGTAGCCCAACTCCTGGCTCCCTAGTCTCCACCTCCTGTTATACCATGCTTAGGCTGTACCATTGTCCTTACAACTTTTCTCCCATTTCCGGTTGGAGCAGGTCCCAGGATTAGGGAGACATTGATCTTGCTGGAACCCGTTGGCCATTAGGTCTGAGGGCCACACAGACCTATTTTGACCCGTATGATGCCATAATCCGTATTATTTTCCTCTGGGACCAGTGCAATGCACTGAGTTCAGTGAGTTCTCACTGAGCTCAGAGCATGCGCAGCTCACTGTTGTCCCAGCAGTCTTAAAGTTTTTCCACACTGTACAAAATGTTGCCTGATGTGCCACTACTAGAGTTCTTGATCTACTGGCCATCAGGTCTGAGGGCTACCAGGACAAGTTTTGGGTGGAACCTGTAGGATGTCATGCTGTTGCAGTTCACTGAGCCAGAAATGAGTTCACTCCCAGCTTAGTGCATGCGCAGTCCTGCCCTATAGCCCTTGCCTCCTTAAACAAAATGGCACCTAATTCAGCTCTAGGGGGCTGACTTGGTTGTGAAATTCATCCTGTTCCTGTACTGCCCATCTGGGATCTGCCACTCTGCTCCTGGTCAAATCAAACAGACGAGCAGGATGGGAAGTTCTTTGTCTGGGT